TTATATTTTTGGGCTCCAAAATCACTGTGAATGGTGACTGCAGCCATGAAATTAAAAGATGCTTGCTCCTTGGAAGAAAAGCTAGACAGCATATTAAAAAGCAGAGATATCACTTTGCCAACAAAGGTCCGTATAGTAAAAGCTATGGTTTTTCCAGTAGTCATGTATGGATGTGAGAGTTGGACCATAAAGAAAGCTGAGAACCAAAGAATTGATGCTTTCAAATTGTGGTGCTGGGAAAGACTCTTGAGAGTCCCTTGGACTGCCTGGAGATCAAACCAATCAATTCTAAAGGAAATCAACCCTGAATGGTCATTGGAAGGACTGATGATGAAGCTGAAACTCCAATACTTTGGCCACCTTATGTGAAGAGCTGAGTCAAGGGAAAGACCCTGATGCTGGGAAGGATTGAGGGCAGGAGGAGGAGGAGATGACAGAGGATGAGATGGTTGGATGGCATCATCAACACAGTGGACATGAGTTTGAGCAAACTCCGGGAAATAGTGAAGGACGGGGAAGCCTGTTGTGTCACAGTCCATGGGATTGCAAAGAGTCAGACATGACTTAGCAACTGAACAACAACAATCTAAACTATGTGCAACATAAAATCCAATGCTTATTACAAGAAGGTAACAAAATCTCAAAACCAACATGTAAAACTCACAATGTTAATAAAAATTAATATGTTCAAAAAATCAGGAAAATCATTACCCATAATTTAAAAAAAAAACCTGAATAATTAGAAACAGATCCAGGAAAAGAACACATACACACTACTATATATACGATAGATTACCAAAAGGACCTACTCTATAGTACAGGGAAGTCTACTCAATATTCTGGGATAACTTATATGAGAAGAGAATCTAAAGAGTGAATATATGTTCAGTTCAGTTCAGTTGCTCAGTCATGATCTGACATATGTGTACAGCTAACCCTTAAATAATGTACGGATTGGGGTACTGACCCTCCACATATTTGAAAATCCATGTGTAACTTTAGTCTGTCCTCTCTATCTGTGGTTCTGCATCTGCAGGTTCAACTAACCATGAATGGTGTTGTAATGTAGTAGATATTTTGGGAGGGGGGGGGAACATTGTAAATGTTTTCGCACAGTTTAAACCATGTTGTTCATGGGTTAACTAATTGGAATCCTAGAAAAGGAAGAGACAGAAAAAAATATTCAAAGAAATAGTGGCTATAAACTTTCCAACTGTGATGAAAACCATAATCCTACAAATTCAGGGAGCTTGACAAAAGCAAAAAGAAACATGAATAAAAGCACAACAAGGCATATCATAATCAAATGAAAACCAGTAATGAAGAAAAAATGTTCAGAGGGAAAATGTCATAGATGGACAAAAATAGAACAGTAGCACATATCATTAGAAACAATGCAAGCCAGAAGATAGTTGTGTGTGTGCCACTCAGTCATGTCTGACTCTTTGCGACCCCATGGACTGTAGCCCGCCAGACTCCTCTGTCCATGGAATTCTCCTGGCAAGAGAATCCCACCTGGAGTAGGTTGCCATTTCCTTCTCTAGGGAATCTTCCCAACTCAGGGATCCAACTGGGGTCTCCCACATTGTAGGCCGATTCTTTACCATCTGAATCACCAGGGAAGACAGAGATATCTTTAAAGTACTGGATAAGGGGGGGTGGGGATGGTCTGTCCACCAGATATTCTATACCAAGTAAAAATATCCTTTAAAATGAAGGCAAAATAGACTGTTTTAGACAAAGAAAGTAGAAAGAATTTCTCATTAGCAAACCAGAGGGAAAAAAGTTAAAGGAAGTGCTTTAGTCAGAAAAAGGTTGTATCAGAGAGATTCTTGGAGCCACAAGAAGGAATACAAGTTCCAGAAATGGATAAGTATAGAGAAAAATTTTTCTTGTCTTTAAGTGATAATTGATTATCTAAATTTAAGCAAAGAATAACAACAATTTATGATGGGGTATATTATATATGTAGAAGTAAAATGGAGGTGACAAGCAGCACAAGGCTGGGAGGATGAAAATGGAAATATACTGTTGCAAGTTTCTTGTAATATAAGTAAAATGGTATAGTATTATTTGAAGGTAGACTACGATAAGTTAAAGTTGTATGCTGTGAACTGAAGGGCACTGCGAATAAAGTAAAGCTAAAAAGCCAATAGTGGAGGTAAAAAGGAAACGTTAAAAATACTCAATTAATCCAAAAGAAGTTAGGAAAGAAAAGAAAATAATGAACAAAAGCCAGATGAACAAATAGAAAACAATAGCAGGATGATAGATTTAAACCTAACCATATCAATAATTATATTAAAAGCAAATGGGAAGAACAACTAAGAAATAGCTTTTAAGACTGAATTGAAAGCAACACCCAACTTGATGCTGAACCCAAGAAATCCACTTTAAAAACAAAGACAGATAAAAAGTAAAGAATGGAAAGTATATCACAGTAACTAATTAAATCAAACAAAATGGATGCGTCATTCCATTTATATGACAACACAGGAAAGCAAAACATAGAGACAGAAAGCAAATCAGCAGTTGTCTGTGTCCAGAGAGTAGGGGAAGGTATTGACTACAAATGGTACATGGAAACTTCCTGGAGTGATGGGATTGTTCTGGCCCTCCATAGTGATGGTAGCTATAGAACTATACATATTTATCCAAATTTAGCAAATATTGTACTTAAAATTAGTGAATTGCATTGTTTGTAATTTATACCTCAGGAGAGATGATGAAAGGGTGAGGGAGAGGGAGAAGGGAGGAGGAATAAAGAGGAGAAGAAAAAGAACAGGGAAGGGGGAGGGGAAGGGAAGAAATTAACCATTTGTTTTCCCAAAGTACAGTCTTTTCAGTTAGAGTAGTTGCCACTGGCCTTTGGCTCCATCATGTTAAACATTTTAGCCCTTTTCTCTGATCCTTAGTTTCTACTCACATTTACACTCTAATGGTCTTACCTTCCACCTTAAGGAATTTATTGACTGTTGTACTAAACAAAGATAACTGAATCCCAAAGAGAAATTCTGGTACCAGTCGACGACGTGAAACTGTCACCTAATTAAATGAGGAACTCCTCAGAAGAAACTGGTCTTCCCTCTTGCTGTCCGACATCGGCCTCTGCCCTTCCTGTCCTCACTTGCTCCATCTCTGGCCACATCTTCCTTTTGTTGCTGAAAACGCCACCCAACCCTCTGCTCTGCTTTTACTCTTGAACACCACAGTTCCCTTTCTTCAATAAGTAAGACCATTTCTATATTCTCCCCCATCTCCCACCAGAATGGAAAGTTGAATACACATCAAAGTCTTATTGGTGGGCCTTCTAGGTACACAAAGGACTGAAGTAAAGCATGTAAACTTCACAGGGGAGATACATTTCATAATCACAAGGACAACTCGACTGCTAGACTTTGAGACTCCGGGGAAAGAATTGGGATAATCAGATGGTAGGTATGTGATAAAAGGGCTCAGAGTGGCATCAGTTGGAAAGAAGACATGAAATACAGAGTGAAACAGTATATAAGTAGATGTGAATGTACTTACACCCATGCTAACAGGCGACTGAATACATCTTACTTGTGGACTGGGAGAAAATATTTGCAAAAATATCTGCAGTTTCCAAAATGTATAGACAGCTCATACAACTCAATGACAAAAAAAAAAAACAACAGTCAAAAAATTGGCAGACCTAAATAGCCATTTTTCCAAAAAAAATGTACAAGTGGCCAATAGGCATATGAAAAGGTGCTCAACTTCACTAATTATCAGAGAAATGCAAATCAAAACTACAATAAGCTATCACCTCACACAGGTCAAAATGGCCATTATCAAAAAGTTTCCAACTAACAAATGCTAGAGAGGGTTTAGAGAAAAGGGAACCCACCTACACTGTTGGTGGGAGTGTAAACTGGTGCAGCCACCATGAAACACAGAACAGAGGTTCCTCAAAAAACTAAAAATAGAGTTGCCATATGATACAGCAATCCTACTTTGGACATATATCCAGATAAAACTCTAATTTGAAAAAATACATGTACCCTAATATTCATAGAGGCACTATTTACAATACCCAAGCCATGGAAGCAATCTAAATGTCCACTGACAGGATGGATAAAGATGTGGTATATGTACATCTATCTATTTATACATACATGCAATGGAATACTATTCAGGCATAAAAAATAATGAACAATGTCATCAGCAGAAACATGAATGAACCTAGAGATTATCATACCAAGTGAAGTTAAGTCAAACAGAGAAAGACAAATATATGATATCAATTGTATGTGAAAATCTAAAATATAATGCAAATGAACATTTTTACAAAATAGGAACAGACTCACAGACATAGAAAACAAGCTTATGGTAACCAAAGGGGAAAGGGGGTGGGAGAACAATAAATTAGGAGTTTGGGGTTAGCAGATACAAACTACTATATATAAAATTAATATGACAACAAGGTTCTACTGTCTAGCACATAACTATTTTCAATATCCTTAATAAACTATAATGGAAAATAATATTAAAAAAGGTATACATATGTAACAGAATCATTTTGCTATTCACCAGACACTAACACAGCATTATAAATCAACTATACATCAATAAAAAGTTTAAGAATTTTTAAAATATTGGTTGTCTTGTCAAGCATCATAGAGAAGATACAGCCTATCTTCATATTCTGTGATGATTTTCTGATCAAAGGTTACTCACTTCTTTGATTAAATTTAAATAACAATTATTTAGACACACTGGAAAATTAGCTTGCTAGCCTTTTAAATAATGTACTAGTAACATTTCTTGTTCACTTCAGATCACCATTGACTCAGAGTTTTTATAATTACACAGACACAGAAGTGGATCTAAGTGAATCTTAGATCCACATAATGAAGGTTTACTATAGAAAGGCACAAACATCTTCATTGAAAGCTTATGTTCCCGCAGATTTGAGAGCAGTGAAAAAGTAATTCTCAGAAACTCTTCAGATGTTCTCATGGCTTTTACTTCTCCAGGTGCGTCTTACTCTGACCACACACTCCCCATGGAGAAGATGGATGATGCTGTAGCTCCAGGCCAAGAATATACCTATGAGTGGAGTATCAGTGAGGACAGTGGGCCCACCCACGATGACCCTCCATGCCTCACACACATCTATTACTCCTATGTAAATCTCGTAGAGGACTTCAACTCTGGACTGATTGGACCTCTGCTTATTTGTAAGAAAGGTAAAAAAAAATTCAATGACAACAAAGATGTTGGATTGGTAAGGAGTACTATCATGAAATGAAGTTTGAAAGCGCCTTGGGATCTTTTCATAAATGAAGAGAAGGGTGCAGAAACCAGATCATAGTTTGACACTGGTATTTGAAGGGTGGAATCTTCTCTCTCTTTAATCCTTTCTTCATCTTGGTCCTGGGAATCTCTCCCAAGTAAATCTTTGTCTGAGAGTATGTTCTGCTTCCATGCCCATATGATCTGTAACATTTACCTCAAGGCCAGGTCTTTTTGAAAGTATACAGCAGCCTATATACTCTGCTGAGAGTCCTTGGAAAGAATTTTGACAAATATACCTGAGGCTTGGGTTGGCAATTTGGTCTATAAATACACAAAACTCTTAGTTTCTTTCTTGTAAAGAAGCCAAACACTTTGGGTGGTAGGTTTTGAACACACTCAATTGACTTTATAAGAAATTTCATTGGCTGGGCTTCTTATGAGTAAGCTTGGATTACTTTACCCCAAAGAATTTATCCAATCTTTTATTAAAATAAACAACCACAACAAATTTCACTGTGGGAAACAATATGATGGATTCACCATCTGTCTATACATATACACATACCAAACCTACATAACATTCCTAATTCATTTATTCACTACACAAATACATATTTTCATTGCCTGGTATACTGAAGATACTGTGACGACACTGAAAAATATTTTAAACTTGTAAAAGTCTCTTATTTCATTTTATAATCAGCTGCATTTTTTTCCATTATGAGAATAGATTAATCTTGACCCTCTCAACCAATTCTCTATGTCTCATTACAGATACTAACAAGATGGCTCTATTAAACTTAGAGTGTAATGCTTTTACCAGATAAGCCATGGGACCTATGAGCTATGGGACTTATTGACACTGGAAGAAATGGCTACTTTTACTAAAGTCTTAACAGTCATCAAATGTTTTCTCTCTGTGTCAGATCAAATGTACCTTTAAAGTCCCATTCCTCAAGGCTATCAGATGTCAGAGGAAACAAGGTGGTACCAGGATTTTAATAAGCGTTCAATCACTATTACTTGATAGATGCTATTTTTTATAAGAATGTCTCACAGTAGACATCGGTATGATTGGCTGCTTCTCTACAACACTGCCATCTAGGAATAGCTAGAGTCTTCTAACTTGGATGCTATTAAAACTATGTCTTTTTTCACAGGCACCCTAACCAAGGATGGAATTCAGAAAATGTTTGACAAGCAACATGTACTGATGTTTGCTGTGTTTGATGAAAGTAAAAGCTGGAATCAGACATCATCCTTAATGTACACAGTCAATGGCTATGTGAATGGGACGATACCAGGTAATACACGGGCTGTGTTGAAAAACTAGTTGAAGCATTGGTCCCATTGTTTCCCTAAGGCCCTAGGGAAGTTGACTATACTATTTATTTTTTAACTCCTGATCTGAAAGGTCATGGAACCTAGTTTAGTGGTTCTCAAGATTTTATTATCCTATTTGAAAACAAAAGACAAAAAACCCCCACAAAAACTAGCAAGTACAACAGACAAATTAGAAGCCAAGAGAAGCAAGTGATCTTATTAGATATCATGCTCTGAGCAGGTTTCACCTGCAAAGACCTCCAGGATATCAGCTTGGTCTTCTTCAGTGAATTGTGTGGTTCCTGCTGCACAGTAACCATACCTTCCTCCAAAGAGGAAGACTTAGAGGACAGAATTCAAGGTCAATCCCTAGCAGGAAAGGTCAGTAGGAAGAATGCAATAAAGACACTTACAGTGAAGATGAATAGGAGACTAGGAGAAATATCCAGTATGTGAAAATACTACGAGCATTGCAAAAGATGATGAATAATATTCAATGACATGTGGGATATTTTTCTTTTCATTTGCATGTAGACTCTTGTGAAAAAGCGAAATTATAACTATTGTTAAGAGAAAAAAAATTGATCCCCATCTAAACCACCTCTGCTTCTCTCTGATAGAAATGAACTAGAATCAAAGATCCTGTGGAGGAAAAATGGGAGAAGTGAACATATTACTTTATTAAATAAACTATGCTTCAAAGCACTAAGCTTCTCAGAAGCTATTCTCTGTATCTGAAAATCACAAGTGGCTTCTCTTACTAAAAATAAAACTTGTCAAGAGTTGAGGTCTGGATATTGCTTTTAAATTGTGTTCCATTTCATTTGATTCCATCTTCCTGGTCAGGTCTTTATACTCACATGACCCTGGGTTTTGATTCAGAGTTTAAAAACTTAGTTACTGAGCACATCTGACCTCACCTTGTTCACTTCTCTACCCTAGTGTGTTTTTTTGGCAGTTAACTGTCTCAATGTACTTTCTTACAAAAATGGGTTAATCATCTATCCTGGTGCAGAAGGTACTCAAGAATTTTTTTTACAGATAACATAGCATGTCTAGTACTATGGGCCTTAAGGGGAGTGGTCAAAAGAGAACCTGTATCTATGCCCTGGCAGATTGAATTGCCTGTGCAAATGCAGAGAAGAAGCCAAAGTAACCCATATGAAAAAAATAGCAATTAATAACTCTATGTGGGCATAGAATTTAAGAACTTATAGTTGAAAAAGACACAGTAGCTGGGGTTAAGAAGGGCAACATAGGGAAATGTCATTAGTAGAAATAGAAAAGTTAATGCTTGTTAGACTGCCTTATGGAGCAGTATAAACTGAAAAACTATAATAAATGCCAACACAGATGTATAAAAGGCTCAAATCAATATAAGCATTGATTTGAGACAGATAAATTCTTCCACCAAAGCCTCCTACCTTCCAACTTCTTGTTCTCACCAATGATACCAGGAAATGGTCTTGTTACAATGGTTTAAAACAGAGAAGCCCTCAGCCACTCTTTGTGTGAGGGACTGATTCATGGCCCCACAATCTAATATCAAGTGATCATAGATCTGAAAGTTAAAACCCAAGCCAAGGATAGAAGCCAAGGTTGGAATCTCCTGCAGAGCAAATTAGCATTTTCACGGTCACTGTGGGGACAAAGAAGGAACCAAATAGCTTTTGTACTCAGTTCTCATTACTCCATCCATGAAACACTCCCAGTGACCCAGTATAATGAGGATTTACCCACTGCATATTAACAAGATCCTATAAATGACAGAGTAACTCATTGTCTTGTCATTAAAATAATCAATCAGTGGGTAAAGAAACAGAGCATGCGTGCTAAGTCACTTCAGTCGTGTCTGACTCTTTGTGACCCCATGGACTGTAGCCCCCTAGGCTCCTCTGTCCGTGGGATTTTCCAGGCAAGAATACTGGAATGGGTTGCTGTGCCCTGCTCCAGAGGATCTTCCCAACCCAGGGATCAAACCTCCATCCCTTACGTCTCCTGCATTGGCAGGTGGGTTCTTTATCACTACTAGCACCAACTTGGAAGCCCAAAGAAACAGTATAAACTACTTAAAGCATCTTCACTTAAACTTGATCCCTAAACTCATCCCTTTTGGAGGTTTGGCCCTTAAACTCAGCCCTGTTGGAGGCTCTGGCAACTCCAGTTGAGCCCAGGTTGGTTGTAGAGTGACCAACTGCTCAGGCTTGCCCAGGACTTTCTCAATTCTAAAATTGAAAGTTCTGTATTCTGGGAACCCCTCTGTCCTTGGTAAACCAGAAGTGCTGGTCACCTAATTGCCTCTCTCCTTGGATCTTAGCAGTCCCTGTGTTTCTGAGCTAACATTCCCCCATCTCTGGGCTCTTAGCACCACTTATTGCAATGAGTTGTGACTGCTTGTTTGCTCATGACTTGGATGACTGCTTTTCTAGGGAAGGTACCATAGTGGGAGTGTTTATACCCCCAGAACCTTGCACAAGGCCTGATGCAAAGCAGGTGCTCAAAATGTATCTGGTGAGTGAATTCTTTTATCACAGACTGCTGATGGCCTGTGTTGGCCCCCATCTCTCCCTCAGATATAACAGTCTGTGCCCATGACCACATCAGCTGGCATCTGATTGGAATGAGCTCTGGGCCAGAACTGTTTTCCATCCATTTCAACGGTCAGGTCCTGGAGCAGAACCATCGTAAGATCTCAGCCATCACTCTCGTCAGTGCCACGTCCACGACTGCAAACATGACCGTGAGCGCCGAGGGAAGGTGGACCATAGCTTCTCTCCTCCCCAAACATTTTCAAGGCAAGAAATTCCTCCACAAGTCTTGCTTATGAATGTAGGATCCTTCTTTCTTCCTACCTTGGCACTAACTCTCCCATTCTCCTTTCTCCTTACAAGCTGCCCACGCTCCAGACATAACATTTCTTGGCCCTCGAAAACAGAATTTAGATACTTTGCTCTTAGACTTATAACTTGTTAGTTGGGGATGGAGGAAGTAGAAAAATTGACAAAGGTTTTTTAAAATGATGCAAAAGCCAACATGATCTCTACTTCCCTGAAAGGAGAAAAGAGGAAGGAAACAAAAACATATGTGCAGATATTCTTTCTTGGGGTATTCAGTATGCAGCTAAAGGAAAAGAAGTAGATGTTGGAACCTGTCAAACTTCTGTAATTTATAGAAAGACCAAGTTATAGATAGTGAAAAAGTTTTAACGTGAAAAGATTGTCTTTCATAACAAAATGAGCACAAAGCCTCGTCCACAGAGGAACTCAGTGGATGTGTATTGAATGGAAAGAAAACAGAATCAAACCAGCTGAGGATTTTAAAGGACATTAGTGAATCCTGGTGGGAAAAAAAAATCAGCTTAGGTTGTTATATGGTATCAGGTAAGCAAAATAATGCTCTATTGCACACTGTTGCTTTAAAACTGTTAGGTGGAGGGTTCCTGTACATAAAAGTAAATATCACTATAGGAAATCATTGTATTATCAAAATAATGTGTACAAAAGCAAGACATACAAGAAAGAGACACTTCTGGGATAAATTTCAGTTTTTGTTCATACTGAGTGGTCAAAATTATATTTGAAGTAATGAACTGTCACAATATTGCTAGAAGATAGAGTCCTAAATAATAATGAAATAATAAAACTAACATTACTGAGTTTAAGTACATTTTGTGCTTTTACAATTTCATATAGTATATATTAGTATTATCTTAATTTACAAACAGATGATAGGAAAAATGAGAAATTGACAAGGTCTAAGTCATAAAGTTTTAAGAGTCTGGAAATTACACAAAATTTTCCTCCCCTGAAAAATACAAGGAAAACCATTCCAGTTTTTTTCCGTTACCCATTCTCTCTCTTTCCCTTGCTTTTTTATTCTTGCCTTCCTCACTGTACTAAAATAGTTTCAAACAAAAATGCTTAAAAGTTTCCTAAGTACTACTTTCACTGTTATTATTGAAAACTTCCACAAATTTATTTAAAAGATTTTCATTTTTATCAGCCTTAATTTCTTCTCTCAAATTCTTCCATTTTCCTTACGTTCTAACTCAGCTGGGATGCAGGCTTACATAGACATTAAAAACTGTGCAAAGAAAACCAGAAATCCTAGGAAATTAACTCGAGACCAGAGGCGGTACATGAAGAGGTGGGAATACTTCATCGCTGCAGAGGAAGTCATTTGGGACTATGCACCTATAATACCAGCAAACATGGACAAGTGAGTTTGGAGGGGTTCTTCCTACTGTGCAAATGTTTATGACATGTTCTATAGGGTCCTAGATCCATAGGGTCCTAGATCCATAGGGTGAAATGTCGTGAGTTGACAGCTTTCAAGGAAATACATGTATTGGATTTCATTTTCAAGTCAATCTGAAATTATTCCATACTCACCAAGAGAACTCAGCATGATAATAACTACAGTCATGGGAACAACAACAATAATAATAGCAGCTACCACGTGTTGAATGCTTCCTATTGCCAAGCAGTGTGGTAAACCTTTCTAAGAGCTTTGCTTTAACTCCACAATTAGAAACAGCTCTTATTTATTTTATAGATTAGGAAGTGGGAGAGCTGGATTAAGAAAATTAGAAATTCAAGTAGCTCTTATACACTTGAAAAATACACAAGTTCACTCATAAGAGAAATATGCAAATTATTAATAAACTTCTGTGGAATACTATTTTTTCACCTATCAGACTCACAAGTTCAGATGATATATAATCTAGTGGCAAGACTGTGGGAAACAAGCTCTATCATGTATTACTGGTGGAAGAGTGAACTGGAAAACTTCTAGAAGATAATTTGGCAGTATGTATTAAAATTACAAATGCATATATCTTTTGACCCAGCAACCCCACTCTGGGAATTTACTATATAGATTCATATATTTGTTTACAGGTGAAATGAAGTATGCACAGGATGTTCACGGCTGCACTGTTAGTAGTAGCAAAGGCTTGGAAACAACCTATGAAAGTGACAGTCGCTCAGTTGTGTCTGACTCTTTGTGACCCCATGGACTGTAGCCCACCAAGCTCCTCCTTCCATGGGATTTCCAAGGCAAGAATACTGGAGTGGGTTTCCATTTCCTCCTCCAGCGGATCTTCCCAACCCAGGGATTGAACCTGGGTCTCCTGCATTGCAGACAGATTCTTTACCATCCGAGCTACCAGGAAAGCCCTGAAACAACCTATAATGTCCCTCAGTAGTAACATATGAGTATATACATACAATGGAATACTGGGTATATGTTTTAAAAAGGATGTAAACATTCTCTCTATACTAATATAAAAAGTTCTCCAAGAGATATTTTTAAATTAGTAAGTCAAGGGAACAAGATGGTAGAATAGCAGATTCCCCTACTTGTATCCCCCAACAAGGGGATACCACAGAAGTGCAAAGGAACACAAGAGGCTACTACAAACAATATATGTCAACAAATTGGATAAGTAGAAGAAAGGGAAAAGAGTCCTACAAACATGCACTCTACCAAGACTGAATCAAAGAGAAACAGGAAGCCTGAACAGATCAACAAGAAGATCAAATCAGTAATCAAAAACCTTGAAACAAAAGAAGCCCAGAACTAGATGGCTTCACAAGTTTATCATACATGAATCCTCAAACTCTTCCCAAATATTAGAGCAGGGAACACTTCCAAACTTATCTTACAAGGCCAGTGTTACTCTTACACCAAAGCTATATAAGGACATTGTAAGAAAAAAATTACAGGCCAATACCCCTGATGAACATAAATGCCAAGCTTTCAAAATATTAGTAAACTGAAATCAATACCACATTGGAATTATCATAAACTATGATCACACTTCCTGATTTCAAATGACATCACAAAGCTACAGTTATCAAACAGCATAATAATATCATAAAAACAGACACATAGACCAAATGAACAGAAGTAAGGGCTCAGAATAAATAGATGCATGTACAGTCAATTAATCCTCGACAAGGACACTAAGCAGACACAATGGGGAAAGGATAGTCTCGTCAATAAATGATGGTAAGAAAACTGGATATTCACATGCAAAAGAATGAAATTAGACCCTTAGCTTATTACATACAACATGTACAAAATCTAAGTAAAAAATAAATTAAAAACTTAAATGTAATGTCTGAAACCATAAAACTCCCAGAAGATCACAAAACAGAGAAGCTCTTTGACGCTGGTCTCGGCAATGATTTTTTTGGCTATGACACCAAAAGCACAGGTAACAAAAGCAAAAATAAACAAGTGGAGCAACATCAAACTGAAAAACTTCTGCAAAAGAAACAACAAAATTAAAAGATAACCTACAGAATGGGAGAAAATAGCAGCAAACCAAGTATCTGAGAACAGGTTAATAGCCAAAATATTGGGTTGGCCAAAAAGTTCATTCAGGTTTTTCCACACGATAAAAGGAACTCATGTAACTCAATGGCAAAAGAAACAAACAAAAATAGCCTGATTAAGAAATGGGCAAAGGACCTAAACTGACATTTTCCCTACAGAAAACATACAAATGCCCAATAGGTATATGAAAAGGTGTCCAGCATCACTAATCATCAGGGAAAAATCATATCCTTGATGAGATATTACCTCACACCTATGAGGATGACTAGCACGCAAAAGAGGTAACAAGTGTTGATGAGGGTACAGAGAAAAGGGAACCCTTGTATACTGATGGTGAAAATATAAATTGGTGCAGCCTTTAGGGAAAACAGGCTTCCCTGGTGCTCAGACGGTAAAGAAACTGCCTGCAATGCAGGAGACCTAGGTTCAATCCCTAGGTCAAGAAGATCCCCTGGAGAAGGGAATGGCAACCCACTCCAGTATTCTTGCCTGGAGAATCCCATGGACAGAAGAACCTGGAAGTCCATGGGGTTGTAAAGAGTCAGACACAACTGAACAACGAACACTTTTACTTGTGGAAAATAGTAAGGAAATTCCTCAAAAAATTAAAAATAGAATTACTGTATGATCCTGCAATCTCACTTCTGAGTATATATCCAAAGGAAATGTAGTATATACTATCAAAGAGTTACCTGTACTCCCATGTTCAGTGCAGTGTCAACCATGACAGATTAAACATGGAAGAAACCTAAGTGCCTATCAGTGGAGATATATATGTGTATGTATGTGTGTGTGTGTGTGTGTGTGTGTATATATATATATATATATACAATTGAATATTATTCAGCCTTAAAAAAGAAGGAAATCCTGCCATGTGCAATAATATGGGTGAACCTGCAGGACATTAGGCTAAGTGAAATATTCCAGACACAGAATGACAAATACTGCATGATCTCATATGTGGAATCTAAAGTTGAACCCGTAGAAGCAGAGAGTGTAGTGGTGGTTGCCAGGGGCTGAGGGGGTAGGGGGAATGGGAGAAGTTGATAGAAGTATACGTTTTTCAGTTTTAAAATGAATGAGTTCTGGAGACCTAATATAGAGCATAGTATATTAACTATAGTTAGTAACACCATAGTTAATAACATTGTATTATATTCTTGAAATCTGTTAAGACAGTAGATCTTAAGTGTTATGAAAATTAAAAAATAAGCAACTAGGTGAGGTGACAGAAGTGGTTATTAGCTTGATTGTGGTAATCCATATACTTATATACAAATCATTATGTTGTAAATCTCAGATACATACGTTTGTCAGTTATATTTCAATAAAGCCGGGAAGTGCAACAAAAAGTTCAAGGTATGGTACAGAATATGCAAATAGCTGCCTTTTGTTAGAGGCATGAGAGGATAAGAATAGTTATATCTGCAAGTCATATTTGCATAAAGATGCTCTGGATTATCTACTTGAAATGAATACAAATGAGTATTTAGGAAATGTAGGGAGAGTCAGGGAAGTGGGGTTGAGAAAAAAAAAAAATCCACAATTCTGTAGCAGCAATTAGTGCTTTTTATTGTATAGAATAAATCCATAAAATGGATAAACTCTATTATGGAATCTGCTTTTACAAACAAAGGCAATAAAAAGGACCAAGGGGAAAAGTAGTTCATGTTACTTCCCCAAATCATTCACTGCAGTAGCTACAGAAGACGGGTGAAGGCAGTTGGTTTTCAGTTGGCACCAGAATTGGGTGGATGGTAGAAGGGATAGCCCATCAGTACAGAACTATGTTAATAAAGACAGTAGAAACTTACTAGAGTGGGAATGTGTTCTTTTAGAGATGGAGAAATACCTGGAAAGCCAATTATTTATTGTTTTAGTCATTAAGTCATGTCTGACTCTTTTGCAACCCTATGGACTGTAGCCTGCCAGGCTCCTCTGACCATGGAATTTTCCAGACAAGAATACTGGAGTGGGTTGCCATTTCTTCTCCAGGGGATCTTCCTGACCCAGGCGTCAAATCCACATCTCCTTGATTGGCAGGCAGATTCTTTACCACAGTCGTGTCTGACTCTTTGCAACCCCATGAATCGCAGCACGCCAGGCCTCCCTGTTCATCACCAACTCCCGGAGTTTACTCAAACTCATGCCCATCGAGTCAGTGATGCCATCCAGCCATCTCATCCTCTGTCGCCCCCTTCTCCTCCTGCCCCAATAGGATACTATAAATTAAGTGATAAGACATACTTAAGAAAAATTCATAATGTATCTTCTCCTTTCATCCAAGTAGACCTTTCAGAGAGCGCTACTCTAGAAACTGGAGAGATAGGAAGATGTAAGTAGCTGCTTCTAACCAAGATTATGACTTCATCAATGGTGGAGGAGACAGATCAGAGGTTTCCTGTTTTCCAACTACAGAGAAGATATCAGGAGTTTGAAAATCACATTAGGGTTCCCCCCCACCTAAGAAAACTAGCATTTTATCTAATTCAAGAGCAGAACTTCTAAACATAAGGGTTTCCCCCCATCCTATTGGGGTCTCTACTTGAGAAAACTAATCTTTTAAACTTTATTTCACTTTAAGAAAATACAGATCTCTGCATTTGGATAATTTCTCAAACCGAATTGGAAAACATTATAAGAAGGTTGTCTACAAACAGTACCAAGATGACTCCTTCACCAAACGCCTGGAGGATCCCAGTAGCAAAGGAGATGGGATCTTGGGCCCTGTTATCAGAGCCCAGGTCAGAGACACGCTGAAAGTAAGTAACAGAAATACAGAACCATGGAAGAACTTGAAAACTGAAAAACAGATTATACGTACTGGTTATTTATTTTTTTTAACGTGACCATGTAATTTTTAATTCAAATGTGGTTTTAATTCTTTTTTGTATTTGCACTTATTATAGCCTATCTCAGAATACAAATCATCTAAAATAGTTGATCAGATTTTAAAGGAATAAACCAAGGAGCCGATGTAACTGGGGTGAAGGATAATGTGGGGACAAAGAAAATAAAGCCAAGGATAAGTATAATGAAACACATACCATATGCTCCTATAATGTTGTCTGCAAATTTTGTCCTAGGATTTCTAGCAGCCAAAATAAACAGGTAACTAGGTCAGGCAAGATTCACAGTAGTCATAAAAGAAGTACAATTTCCCCTGTTATTGAGACTTAGAAGAAGTTATCCTATGGATACTTAAAAAGAGCATGGTGTGTGATGTGGCAGATGGAATCCTTGACCCATCTACAACTGGTATGATAAATTTAAAAGCTGCATAGTTTTTTATTTAATTTTATTTATTTTTAATTGATTGATGATTCTTTAAAATAATGGTTTGATTTCTTTTTTGGAGGCCTGGGGGTCTTCTGCTATCATTTAGAGGTTACTCTGTAGGAGTTGTTCCATATTGTAATGAGTTTTTTATGTATTTGTGGGGAGGCAGGTGATCTCCCTGTTCACTCCTCGATCATCTTCTTTCACTTCCTAAAAATTGCATAGCTTTTTAAAATAATGTTTCTCATTATATCTGAGAACATAGATGAAAACAGTTCATCAATGTGGTCTAAGCATGTAGTTCTCTGATGATTGGTCTCTGATGAAGGTAAATTTTGATATGTGTCAAGAACACTGAGTGTTCCTCAGGCAGGTTTCTTTATATGTTGTATCATGTCATCACCTTATCTTTTGATAAGAACTAGACAGTGAGAATTAAAAGTTGCAATCTTTGGCCAGATTCTAGGGTGAATATAATCTGCAGATTAAGGATGACCCAAATGCTTTGGCAATCAGCCAAGTAGAGGATAAGGGAATGAACTTCATGGGAATGAACTAAGAGGATATTTGCAGACAAAGCCAATTCTATTCATTAAAATAAATAAATAAATAACCAAACGGCAGAAAGCCACATTTCTCTTGTTTCTCTCTTCCTTTCCTCATTACTGATCCCGTTTAGGTGCTCTTAGAAAGTATAAAGATGCCTCATTGGAAATTCAAGAGCTGGTTATTTGCTATGCCCCATCAAGAAGACGGTTTTGGGGGGACTTCCCTGGTAGTCCAGTAGCTACAACTGCACTCTCAGTGCAGGGGACCTGGCTTCGATCCCTGGTCAGGGAACTAGAATCCATGTGCCACAACTAAGAGTTTGAATGCCGCAGTTATATGACTCTGTATGACTAGAAGATCAAAGATCCTACATGCCCCATCTAAGACCTGGTGCAGTCATGTAAACTAAATAAATATTTAAAAAAGAATAAGATGGCATCAGGGACAAGGGTTTGGGAGATCTGGCAGACTGGAGAAGGGAAGGAGCAGATTCAAAGGCAGATGTGATCTAAGCCAAAAGCAGAGGGGAAGGGAGATGGGGCTCAACTTGGAGAGGGTAATGTACCGTGAGGAAAATGTCACTTCTAAGGTCAGACTTCTCTTTCCATTTTCCACCTTACTATGTAAGTGGAACTCTCTCAAATGCATCTGCCAGGTGATGGGGAGAGGTTGCCCCTCAGATACACAGTTATTAGTTTGCATTCACCTAAAGACACATACGCACCATCCAACAAGTAAATACACAAAGCCAGCATTGTCTCTTCTCATGATTGACCTTAAATCCTGAAATAATGGATTCGAGTTAATTTTATAGATCGTGTTCAAAAATATGGCCAGCCGCAGCTACAGCATTTACCCTCACGGTGTGACCTTCTCTCCTTACGGCGATGAAGGAAACTCTACCTCAACCTCAGGTTTGAATCTTTCACATCTACTGAACGAAACTACTGACCTCTGAGAGACTGTCATATTGTCCTACTATCCTTCTTGCCTGTTAGTATAACTTATACCGTCAGATAGTATACGTGTAGTGTGTGTGTGCTAACTTGCTTCAGTGTCCAACTCTTTGCGACCCTAATGATTATAGCCTACCAGGCTCCTCTGTCCATGGGGTTCTCCAGGCAAAAATACTGGAGTGGGTTGTCATGCCCTCCTCCAGGTGATCTTCTCGACCCAGGGATCGAACCAGCATCTCCTGTGTCTCCTGCATTGACAGGCAGGTTCTTTACCACTAGTGCCGCCTGGGAAGCCCCAGTATACATGTAGGGATATCCTCAGAATCACAATCAAACACTGCTCACGTCAGGGATTTTGTTTATCCTGGTGACTACAAAGTATGGTGTCCTTTGTCAGTGCAATAAGCGGCCTCAAGTGGACTGATATCTAATAACCACAAGCTATCCAGAGCTCTGGACATCTCCCAGGAGGCTCAGTGGTAAAGAACTCGCATGCCAATGCAGGAGCCTCAGGAGACATAGGTTCAATCCCTGGGTCAGGAAGATCCCCTGGAGGAGAAAATGGCAACCCACTCCAGTATTCTTGCCTGGAAAATCTCAAGGTCAGAAGAGCCTGTTGGGCTACAGTCTATAGGGTCGTAAAAGAGTTGCATATGACTTAAGAGACTAAACAGCAACAACAAATCAGAGTTCTATCAAATGGAGCTTAATATAAAAAGAATATCCCTTTCTCAACACCAATTCTATTGAGAGCTCAATTATTTTAAATTACTCATTCATTTTTTACTTATTTATTTTTTCCATGAAATAATTTTGAAAATCAAAACCAATTTTGAATATATTTTCTTTTAGGCAGTAACACCATGATCAGAGCAGTTCAACCAGGGGAAACCTACACTTATAAGTGGAACATCTTAGAATCTGATGAACCCACAGAAAATGATGCTCAGTGCTTAACAAGACCATACTACAGTAATGTGGACATCACCAGGGACATTGCTTCTGGACTGATAGGGCTTCTTCTAATTTGCAAGAGCAGATCCTTGGATAAACGAGGCATACAGGTATTTCGTCCCTGAAGTAACCTTTCAGAAATTGAGAATTTCTGATGGGAACAGAGTATTTCTCCTTGTTAAATAATGGGGCTTTTGCTTCTGAAGAACAGAAAATATTTAGTAGTCCCTCTTTAGCGTGAATGTAACAAGGCTTATTCCTTTAGTTACTTTATTGTCTTATTTATTTCTTAGATAAGTCTTATATGGACTCTACTGGAGAAGACAAATCTCCAGTGCTATAACTGCATTTTTGTTTGTTTCAAATTCCAGATCTTCCATACTGGCTACATGATAAGCAAGTCACTTAGTTTCTCTTAATTTTTTCCTTTCATTAAAACAGTATTATTCTTTCCTAAAATTTTTACAGAGCTGTTTCAGGGCTCAGTGAGACATCACCTGGTAAAAGTGACTCTCACAAGGGCTTTGTTCACAATGGGTTCACAGATGTCTGAATTTATGGCTCCACAGGCCCTGAGACCTGTGTGCCTTTGGTTTCTGAGAACTCAGTGTTGTAGGTAATCCATAGGCTAGGATGTTAATCACTGAACACAGCACTTTTATCCTCCAGAGGGTAGCAGACATTGAGCAGCAGGCTGTGTTTGCTGTGTTTGATGAGAACAAGAGCTGGTACATCGAGGACAACATCTACAAGTTTTGTGAAAATCCTGAGAAGGTGAAACGTGATGACCCCAAGTTTTATGAGTCAAACATCATGAGTAGTAAGTCAGAGGGCTCTTTTTATCCATCAGTTTCTTATTCCTGTGGCTGAAGTGTGACTGTATCAAGAGGCAGAGGTGTGAATTAGAATCCACTCACCTCTTAGTCTCACTTCCAATCCAGGAATTTGGTGATGAAATTACTGGGTGATAAAGAAATCTTTTTACAGCAAGAGGTCAATGCTTGCTATCCTTTGATGCCCTGTTGATTTCCTGCTTCAAATATGTGTGTGTGGGGGGCGGGGTGCACGAGCGCATGCTCTGAGCAGGGAAGAACAGGGTGAAGGGTGTGGGTGGGTGAGGGAAGAGGCCTTGGTCAGAGGTATCTGAGAATTTTAGACTGGGTGCAAGGCGAATAGTCTTTATGCCCAGGGCATAAACAAGGTAAATGATCTAAAGCCAGACTGTCAAATCAAACTGAGCAAAATGCAAACAGGGAGCCAAGAGTCTTGGAAAGCCAATCCACGAAGAGGTTTGAAGTGAGCAGTAAGAAGTACAGAACAGAAAGTATAATCTGAGTCAAGATATATCAGGCTTTTCTGTAATTTTAAAGTCCGTGCTCAAAGCCACTGCTCTGGGAGGTCTGGCAGAAATTTCACTGAGCCAGCTGGAAGCAAACTTCTCCACAAGGGGCAGGGTCCCTTTCCTCAGAGCTGGGAGTCACTGTACTCACTTTTTCTCATAGGTAATCACAGAAAGGAGGACAATTTCTCCACAGTCTGTTCATATAATTTCAGGTGACTGACAGCTGACGATTATTAGTACTGGCAGTTACCAGGAAAATAACTCCGAACAAGGAGTCAGCCTCAGCTTTCTTTGCTTAATTTCATTTTGGCAATGAATCTGTCATAGTTCTAGACCAGTGCTGTCCATTTGAAATTATATATGAGCCACAAATACAATTTAAAATTTTCTAGTAGACATATTAACACTAAGGAGAAAAAGGTGAACTTTGTTTTAGTAATATGCTTTATTTAAGATATTGCAAATATTATTATTTAAATATATAATCAATATTAAAATTAAAAGAGATTTACTTTATTTCTTACTAAGTCTTGGAAATCCAGTGTGTATATTATACTCACAGCACGTCTCAATCTAGATTACCCATAGTTCAAGTGCCCAATAGTCACTAGTGGCTAGTGGCTACCATAATACTGTAGCTATAGACCATTTAGAAAAGCTTCCAGAATCAGGTACAAACTAAAAACACATTAGGCCAGCTATGTGATAAGTATTTAAGTGTTCACTAGTGCCAGGCATTATACTAAGATGAGGGTTATTGTGGTAACCCTGGCAGACATAGACCCTGTCCTCACAGAAATCATCTATGATTTTATTACCATGCTTAGTATATAAGTAAATACTGATACTGCCTAAAAATGTATCCCATTGAAAGAGAATGAAAATGTCTGAACTTGATAGCTGAGTGCAAACTAGAGATTATATAAATGCTAAGATGGAGCAATAAAAATTGCAAAATATGCAAAATAGGTTTTGTTTTTAGGGATAATTAATTGTATTCAATAACTAATGCTTCAAGAATTTGACTTTCTTATATTATGCTTTTTCTCCAGGTAAAATTACTCTAGATAATATTCTAAGTTGACCCTCAGAATATCTTTGAAAGCAGACCTAGAGTAAAAAATATACACTTAACAAATGAATGAATAAATCAATGTGAATGAAAGGCTTTGTTTTTATCCTGACCTTTCTCCCTTGGCTAACTTTAAAGAATAAGTTCTCATTTGAAAAGTCTGTGTTTGATATTCAATCTGGTAAAGCTTATCCCATATAATCAATAAGACACAGAGTATCACTGGGTTATAATTAGCCACATTTCCTTTTGTTGGTATAGGCCTGATGTTTTAACAGATTTCACTCTTTCAGCTATTAATGGCTATGTGCCTGAGAGTATACCCACACTAGGGTTCTGCTTTGATGACACCGTCCAGTGGCACTTCTGCAGCGTGGGAACCCAAAATGACATTTTGACCATTCACTTCACTGGGCACTCATTCATCTATGGAAAGAGGCATGAGGACACCTTGACCCTTTTCCCCATGCAGGGGGAATCCGTGACCGTCACAATGGATAACGTTGGTAAGACTGGGATATTTAGAGGGGATCCTCTGCTCTGCCTGCCCTGCTGCAGCTCTTCAGACTATCACGCTGCCCAGGCTTCTCTCTCTCATTCCTGGCGGGCTTTCCTTTCAATACTATTCATGATTTCTACTGGGGGAATTGATTACTCAAATGGGCCAGTCCTTTTTCATGCATTTCATTTATCCTTCTCTGGGCTAAGTGAGAAGCAAAGATATAACAGTAAAAGGATCAGGCATGACTTTGAGGAGAAAATGTGAGCATTCAGCCACAGCGCATTTCTTTCATCAAAATGCCTTTTTCAGCTTTTTAAGATAGCCATCCCACACTAGGGCTAGCAATAATCCAATATAATGCCTTAGAGGTGGGCTTCACAGATAGCTATCATGGGCTTTGGAATCATCAGACCCAGGTTCAAAACCTGCTCTGCTGCTTGCTATCTGTGTAACCTTGGACAAATTACTCCACCTCACTGAGCCTCAGTTTATTAATCTGAAAAACAGAACAATAACACTTTATAGAGTTGCTCTGACATTCATTGTAATATATGCCAAGTACCTAGGACTCAGTAGATAATCGACATGTTATATCTATGGAAGACTTGCCAGGAAATCACATACCATTTCAAAGAGATTCAATATTGTCCTGGATCCACTTGAATTATTTATTCCTTAGAAATATCTAGATGTTTCTTATTTCTTGGGAAACAATAGGAACAAAAGAAACAATAAGATGCTTCTTATTTCTTATTTCATCATCTTTCACCTAACTTCAGCTCTCTAACAAAATGTGCAACTCACAGAGCTTTGATATCAAAGACCATTTCATTCTTGGGCTTCTGAGGTGGCTCAGTGGTAAAAAGCCCACCTGCCAATGCAGGAGACATAAGAGACCTGGGTTTGACCCCTGGGTTGGGAAGATCCCCCTGGAGAAGGAAATGGCAACCCACTCCAGTATTCTTGCCTGGAGAATTCCATGGACAGAGGAACCTGACAGGCTATAGTCCATAGGGTCGCACAGAGTCAGACATGACTGAAGTGACTTAGCACACACACACACTTCATTCTTAATTCATCTCTTTTTTTGAATATATTCTAAAACAGTGACTCTCAAACTATTTGCGCTGAAAGTTTTTTCTCCCTAATCTGCACCGACCAATACTCTGGGTCCATATCCTGTCAAATGAGATCAGTGTGCTGATCACACAGTTGGATGTCATGGAAATGTGAAGATTGCAAAAAGGTTTCCTATACCCTTTCCTCTCGATTTCATTCCTTATGTCCCTGTGGAACAGTAACCAGCAGTTCACAGATCAGTTGTGGTCCACAGACCACAGTATCCCTAATGAAAGTTCACTGGAAATTATCTGCTACAATGGACCGTAGGGTTTTTAATATCTTTTTCTGTACTCAGAGTTCTCTATTCTGTCTGTTTCTTTTTTGTAGGAACTTGGATGTTAACCACCATGAATTCCAATCCAAGAAGCAGAAAACTACGGCTGAGGTTCAGGGACGCTAAGTGTATCCGGAATGATGATGATGACTCCTATGAGATTATATATGAAACTTCAGGATCTACAGCCAAGACTACAAGGAAAATGCGTGATTCTTCAGAAATTGAAGATAAAAATGATGCTGACTTTGATTACCAGGACGAACTGGCTATAACATTAGGACTTAGGTCATTCAGAAATTCATCACTGAATCAGGAGAAAGATGAGTTCAATCTTACTGCCCTAGCTCTGGAGAAAGACTCTGAATTCATTCCTCCAAGTGCCAACAGAGCTCTTGGTTCAAATTCTTCTTCCCCAAGTCATATTAGCAGGCTTATTGCCAACAACTTTGCAGAACCTCTGAACACTCTTCTGCATCTGGAAGCCCCTGCAGCTGGTTCCCCCCATGCTGGCTTAGATAAGAACTCAGCTCTCAACCCTCCCATGGCAGAACATTCCAGCCCTTATTCTGAAGACCCTAGAGAAGATCCTCCACTCTCAGATGTCACAGGGATAAGCCTACTTCCTTTTGGCAAAGGAGTCAAAAATAAAAAACCTGCTGAACATCAAAGATTCCAGGCAGGAAGAGGCCGAGCAGCAAAGCGTAGGTTCTCCCAGATGGAATTCCCAGCACATAAAACCAGGACACATTTAAGCCAAGACAACTCTTCTTCTTCTAGAACGGGGCCCTGGGAGGACATTCCCAGTGATCTGTTACTCTTACAACAAAAGGATCCATCTAAGATTCTGAATGGAGAATGGCATTTGGTTTCTGAGAGAGGCAGTTATGAAATAATCCAAGATGCTAATGAAAACAAGACTGTTAATAAGTTGCCCAACAGCCCCCAGAATGCCTCAAGGACTTGGGGAGAAAACATCCCTTTCAAAAACAGTCATAGAAAGCAGAGTGGCCACCGGACATTTTTGGTAACTAGACGTAAACCTCTACAAGAAAGACAGGATAGAGGAAATAGTAGATTGAAGGAAGGCCTTTCGTTAATTAGGACACGAAGAAAGAAAAAGGAGGAAAAACCTGCATACCACGTTCCTCTATCTCCAAGGAGTTTTCGCCCTCTGAGAGGAGAGGTCAATACCTCATTTTCAGACAGAAGACATAACCATTCATTGTTACTCCATGCGTCCAGTGAATCATCTCTTTCCATGGACCTCAGTCGGACATTCCCCTCTATGAACGGGAGCCTTGCAGCCTCACTTCCTGACCATGACCAGACCTCACCAGCTGACACCAGTCAGACAAGCCCCCCTCCAGGTCTTTATCCGACAGTGAGCCCAGAGGAACACTATCAAACATTCCCTATTCAAGACTCTGATCCAACACATTCTACTACAGCCCCCAGTGACACATCTCCCACACAGCCCAGTCAGATACCCGACTATGACGTAAGAAACATGGGCATCCCTACTGATGTGAGTCAAATTTTCCCTTCCTTGGAACTTGAAGTCTGGCAGACAGCTACCTCTCTAGACCTCAGTCAACCATCCATCTCTCCAGACCCTGGCCAGATGGCCCTCTCTCCAGACTTCAGCCCAGAGTCTCTCTCTCCAGACCTTGGCCAGACGGCCCTCTCTCCAGACCTCAGCCCAGAGTCTCTCTCTCCAGACCTTGGCCAGACAGCCCTCTCTCCAGACCTCAGCCAAGAGTCTCTCTCTCCAGACCTTGGCCAGACGGCCCTCTCTCCAGACCTCAGCCAAGAGTCTCTCTCTCCAGACCTTGGCCAGACGGCCCTCTCTCCAGACCTCAGCCAAGAGTCTCCCCCTCCAGACCTCGACCAGCTTGATCTCAGGCAGACATCACCTCCTCTAGATCTTGATCAGACATCCCACACTTCTGAATCTAGTCAGTCATTGCCTCTTCCAGAATTTGGTCAGACTTTCCCTTATGAAGATATTGGTCAGATGCCATCTCCTCCACCAGACTCTACACTAAATAACACTTTTACACCAGAAGAATTTAATCCACTGGTTGTAGTAGGCCTCAGTAGAGATGATGGAGATTACACTGAAATTATTCCAAGGCAGAAAGAAGAGAGCAGTGAAGAAGACTATGGTGAATTTGAGTTTGTAGCCTATAATGACCCCTACCAAACTGATCTTAGGACAGACATCAACTCCTCCAGAAATCCTGACAACATTGCAGCATGGTACCTCCGCAGCAACAATGGAAACAGAAAAAATTATTACATTGCAGCTGAAGAAATATCCTGGGATTATTCAAAATTTGTGCAAAGGTTTGACAAGTTCTTATATTCTCATTTTTTCCACTAAAGCTAAAAAAGTAATTACAACAATCTAAGGAGATGCTTTTGGACAAATCATACTAAGTATAATTTAGTTCCCCTATATAGTGCAACTTGGCTTAGACTGTTTCCATTGTCAATTCCAAGATAAGCTTTTCCACTTCAGGTGACATCTGGACAACACAAGAGCCATCACTGTGAGAAGTCTTTGATATGCTGTATTTAAATCAGCACCCTCCTCTCCCTTCTTTTCTCATCAAAGATGTTCCTACTCTTTCTTGCTCCAGTGCAGAGCCCAATCTATAAATGTTGTTGTTGTTTAGTTGCTCAATCATGTCTAACTCTTTGTGATCCCACGGACTATAGCCCACCAGGCTCCTCTGTTCATGGGATTTCCCAGGCAGAATACTGGAGTGGGTTGCCATTTCTTCCTCCAGGGATCTTCCCCAACTAGGGATCAAAACTGCATCTCCTGTGTCTCCTGCATTGGTAGGCAGATTCTTTACCACTAGCACCACCTGGAAAACAACTTATCAATAGCTATAAGATAATCAATATTATTTCACTGAAGTTGGCGTCAAATCTAAATTTGTGATGTAGAAATCTCCTTTTGCCATTACTTAACAAAAACATTTTAAAATTGTTTACTGATCAGTATGAAGTATGTACCATCTTGGTGAAGATTAAGTCAAATTCCATGTGATTCCAGTAGCAGAGGTCAAGGGTATAAAGTAGCTTAGAAGCAAAAGGCAAGTTTATACCCTCAATTGAGCCATTCATTAGATTATGATTCATCTTGATTGGAACTTTTATTTTAACTTGGTTTATATCATCACTCAGTTAATAATTCTTTGTGTGTGTGTGTGCTCAGTCATGTCTGATTCTTTGTGACCCCATGGACTGTAGCCTGCCAGGCTCCTTTCTCCATGGAATTCCCTAGGCAAGAATACTGGAGTGGGTTGCCATGCTCTCCTCCAGAGGATCTCCCCAACCCAGGAATCGAACTTGCATCTCTTACGTCTCCTACATTGACGAGCAGGTTCTTTACCACTAGCGCCACCTGGGAAGCCCAATAACTCCTTAATGAGGGCTTTTTCTCTCCTAGGCATTGTGCTAAGTGCTGAGATGATAAAAGAGAATATAAATGCACATGACTCCTGCTCTGATGGAACTTGTGTCTAGCTGGGCAGGTAGATATGAACCAAGTACTCATATAAATAAGTGTAAAAAAAAATAACCATGATGAAGACCAATAAGGAAAGGTGATTGATGGTGATATGAGAAGTGGGAAGTCTGACTGGAAAAGTGACATTTGAGTTGAGATCTGAAAATGAACAGGAGGTAGAGAGTGGAGAGCATTCTAGACAGAGAGAATAGCATGATGAAGGCCCTGGGGAAGGAGGAAGCCCTGAGACTGAAGCCCTCTGTAGCTGGAGCTCAAGATGAGGGTCCGTGCTAAGAAAGTGTTTGGCTAGCTATGTAGAGATAAGATACTACTAGGCTTTGTGGGCCCTGGGAAGAATTTTGATGTTTTTGAAAGAGCAGTGAGAAACCCTTCAAAAGTTTTAAGTGACTTCTAGTTGATTGGAATATTTGCAGTCTTTTTAACAAAGGAGTTACACCAAGTGGGCCCCAAGATCCACTTCAGCTCTAACATTTTAGGGTTCTAGCCACTTTTCAACCATAGAGTTGAAGGAGTTGATGCAATTTTGTAAGTGGATTGACTTACAACAGAGAGTTTTTAATGGATTGACATGCATTTTTAAAAGTTACTTTTCATTTTAATTTGCTCAAGTGTGGAAAACCACATTGGCCTGGGTTCTGTATCCTGGGATGACAATATAGAGAAAGAAGAGAAAGGGGTACAAGAAGCAACTACAAATTCTTGGGGATAGCTGATGACATGGTAGCTGATGGCCATGTTTATACTGTCCAAATAAAGCCTATAGCTTTCATAAAAGCTAGCTGTTACCCTAATAAATTAAAATCAAAGTGCAACTAGAGTAAGCAAACACAACACATGAAGTGATTCAGAAAAATTATTTCATTAATCTGATGCCTGACATTTCCATATTAAAACTCTGTGAGTTTAAGAGACTTTCTCCTGTGACTTCCTATTCAAATGTAACACCCTTTACTATATGAGAATAACTAGTTTATCTGGGGACTGCTAAGCAAGTTCCTGAGGGAGTAAGGTTTCCTAGAATGTAAAGAGATGAAACCAGTTTCTTCAAAATCCTATGTCCCATTCCAGATATGCAACCTTTTTAACGGCAAAGTTGTCTTGCTCCTCCCCATGTATGTCGTCTGGGAGAATCCCATGGACAGAGGAGCCTGGCCGGCCACAGTCCATGGGGTCACAAAGAGTCAGACATGACTGAAATGACTTAGTACACACACTCATGTATGTTATAGGGGACTGTATACCATGCTTAGAGTCTGGAAGAATGGGATTAATAGGGGAGCAAGACTAGAAGGAAGGCAGAATGGGATTCTCTAATGATGGCTCGTATTGTATAACATACACTATGAGATTGATGGGTGAGCTTCTGGCCTGTTTCCCAGACTCTTGGAGAAGGAAATGGCAACCCATTCCAGCATCCTTGCCTGGATTATCCAATGGACTGTAGCCTGTCAGGCTCCTCTATCCATGGGATCGCAAGAGTTGGACACGACTTAGCAACTAAACCACCCAGACTCTAGGGAAATTTAAGATTCAGTAGGGAAGTTTGATGTGCTCTAGCCCCAGACTGAGCTGGTGAACTACATGCAGAATAATGTGATTTAGCAAAAGCAGACGTGGGGAGAGTGGCTACTTTCAGAATATAAAACACCCACCCATCCAGTGGCCTTTATAGAGGTGATCCTCTAAATCAACTGACCGTTACCATCTGCCTGTCCCAAACCCTAGCACTATTCCATTGCATGACTTTCTCTATTTTTAAAATTAAAATCTGCCATGTTGATATCTGATAATATTTGTCATTCATTAATTGCAGTTTTTGCTGTTTAGTCGCTAAGCTGTGTCTGACTCTTTGCTACCCCATGGACTGTAGCCCACCAGGCTCCTCTGTCCATGGGATTTCCCAGGCAAGAATACTGGAGTGGATTGCCATTTCCTCCTCTGGGGGATCTTCCCAACCCAGGGATCCAACCCACATCTCCTGCATTGGCAGGCAGATTCTTTACTGCTGAGCCACGTGGGAAGCCTTATTCATTAATACATAAAATAAATATCTGCTTACTATTTGCCAGGTACCTTGCTAGGCACTGGAAATAAAAATTATAAGCAAGCTAAGCACAGTCCCTGATTTCACGGGGCTTTCACTCTAATGCTAGAGTCAGATTTTAATAGATAATCTCACAAACAAATAATATATAATTTACTATATATATGATAGAAACCCTATAAGAATACTACAGGGATTTACTATATATACTACAGTAATTTTGTAGAAATGTAGGGGATATTAGAGAGAGATTTGATCCAGTCTAAAGGGTCATAGGAGGATATGCTTAGAAACAATACGTGAGATGGGAGCTGAATGATATTTACTGGCTTATGATTTTAGTCACTTATATTTTAACTCATTTGCTCATCAAATATTTTCAAATATCTTGTTTATACTAGATGCTATGTTCAGAAACAGATCATTTCCTCAACTCTTTGAATGGTCTTTAATTTGTTCTTTTAAACAAATGCTTTCATTTGTTTAATGAAACAAAAACTTTCATTTCAGTGAAGACAATGATGATATTCCAGAGGACACCGTATACAAGAAAGTAGTTTTCCGAAAGTACGTTGATAGCACTTTTACCAAACTTGATCCTCAGGGGGAGTATGAAGAGCATCTTGGCATACTTGGTCCAGTCATTAGAGCTGAAGTGGATGATGTTATCCAAGTAAGTTATCTTTTGAGCACTGATAAAATCAGAGGAATTTCTACAAGCACCGGAGGGCTGTAGAGATGGAAGTGGCAAGAAAGCTATAGGTGACTTACTTATTTTCTAAAATTAACAAATAACTACATTTCTTTTCAAGACTCCTTACCAACTCACTTGCCACTCTTCAGGAAAAAAAAAGAAATGATCTCATAATTGTATTTCTTCCCCTGCCAAGTTCCTGTTCATTCTATATGGGCCAATTTCATCTCTGAAGAAACTTTCTTGAATTCTCCCAACCTCTCCTAAACATTCAACTGAATTGCTCCTCCCAGGCATTCCCACCAAATCCCATCCACACTTTGTTTACAGCACCTTCTGTCTCCAGATTTTTAACTGGAATTCACATGTGCATATCTCTTTACACCAGTAGCTTGAAATCTTACTGTGAGTAAAACCAAAGCCTAATTCATTTTCAGATCTGTAGCACTGATCTTTATCATTTCATTTGTAGATAATCTTTGAGCCTAAAAACAAACCTGTTTTGGTGTTTCTGGAGAAAACTACATGGGCCCTATCTCGTTGGATGGTTGTAAAATTAGATTAAACAATACACAAAAATTACTTTGCAATTCAAAGCATTCAATATATCTTAGATTCAATTGAATAGCCATCCAGTTTAGCCCATAATGCTGACACTCTGGGGGTTGGGCTTTATTAAGCTTAAATACATTTGTGAATCATTCTTTTCTTTTTAGGTTCGTTTTAAAAATTTAGCATCCAGACCATATTCTCTTCATGCCCACGGGCTTTCCTATGAAAAATCATCAGAAGGAAAGACTTATGAAGATGACTCTCCTGAATGGTTTAAGGAAGACAATGCTATTCAGCCCAATAGCACTTACACATATGTATGGCATGCCACTATACAATCAGGGCCAGAAGACCCTGGATCTGCCTGTCGGGCCTGGGCCTACTACTCAGCAGTGAACCCAGTAAGCATAGCCATTGAAAATTTTTGTTGTTCCCCTAAGTTGAGTCCATCAAATGGAAATTTCATGATTATTTCCTAGTAAATATCTGTCCTGCTTTCCATGAGGAATGTGTGAGGATCAGGGTCCACAGTCAACTGCTACCAAAACCAAGGACTCTCCATGCAGATCTTCAGAAGACAGTGAGAAGCATTTGTTCAGTGGAAAGGAGGAAGGATTACTTAAATGGTTAGCCCTAGTTAGAGTGACTGCCTTTACAGAGGAAGATGTTTATCTGCAACTTCCTTGAATAAGTATTAGCTTTCTTCTGCTTTTTCTTTTTTTTTAAATAAAAAAACTATAAATTCAAGACTCCCCCATTTTGATGGTGATAGAGAGAGCATAGACTGAGATTTCAATTTCTATCCTATCACTTACTGTGTAGCCCTAGGAAAGTTACTTGATCTCTCTCAGCCCCAGTTCCCAGAATTAAAAATGAGGCAACAGCACATAGCGTGTGGAGTAGGCACTTGGTAATATTTGTTCAATGAATTTATTTTTTACCATATAGGATTGTTGTCAGAATTAAATAAGTTACTACAGGCAAAATATTTAACCTAATAGATGCTCAGTAAATAGTATTTATAATAGTGTCCCTATCATTATCATCACCTTAATCATCATTACTACCATGCTGAATTAAGGGATTAATCAGAGGGAGGCAATATGAGCATCACAGAATTAGACAATAAATATCCAGGTTTATTAAGCTATAATTCATTTATAATCTTCAAATTCAGAGTCTGTGAGGTCTCCTTTTCAATAGGATCAGTGATTGTCAGAAGAGCAAAGAAAATCGTGAGAAACCATGAATGTATGCTGTCTGCTCTTCCTGTCTTCCAGGAAAAAGATATCCACTCAGGCTTGATAGGGCCTCTTCTGATCTGCCGAAAAGGGACACTTCATAAGAAGACCAACATGCCTGTGGACATGAGAGAATTTGTCCTACTTTTTATGGTCTTTGATGAAAAGAAGAGCTGGTATTATGACAAGAAGCCCACAAGGTCTTGGAGACGTGCATCCTCAGAAGTAAAAAACTCCCATGAGTTTCATGGTATTTTCCTCTGACTTTGATCTCATCTCTGAACCAGCTTACTGGGTGACAGTGATTCCTGCCCACAGGTCTTCTCAAAATCAGACATAAGATGCTTCTGTGGAAACAGGAGCTCTAACTTAAACCAGATCCTTAAATGTCCACGAGGCTGATGTCACCTGGCAGGTGACAGTGTAGGTGAAAGAGAGCAGACAAATCTGAAAGATAGCAGAGCTTTCTTTTCTCTTCTCCTACCGTCTCTAGGCCTTTCAGCCCAGGATGCTTGGTTTTAGGGTAGGAAGCACATCCTCTGAAAACCTCTCAACCCAGTGGGAAAGCACAGACTGCAGAATCAGACAGGCTGTCTAGTGGCTATGTCCTTTACCTGCTGAGTACCCTTCAGGCCCTGCTTCCTGATTATTCAAGGAAAGACTAAAATGCATCCTGTTTAATTTTAGTTTTGAATGTAATGTCATCTAAATTGCTGTAATTTGGTAATCTTCCACCTTCGAACTTAACAGGGTATTTGATAAGCAGACCACCTATGCCTGGCCTCCGCAGTATGCACTAAGTAAATATGTGTTGGATTAATAAACAAATGAATGGATTCTATCACTCAGTTAAATTCAGCAAATGTTTATTGAGCACCTGCTACTTTGAGCATCTTTTCTTCTCTATCCTGATATAATGGTTTGACTTAATAACTGCTGGAGATAACCTTTATTCTTAGGAAATCTATTCACAGAAACTAAGATGAGGAGGTGAGGCTGATGTTATTAGGATGTAGACAGGTGCTCTCATACCTGATATAATTTTAAGGGGGCCAAAATGATCTCAACTCTTCTCCCTCCAAAAATTCATTTGCTTGGTTCCTGAAATTCCACAATAATTCCTTTCACTTTAGAAAAATAAACAACAACAGCTACCACCACTACAAAACTTCCCTCACTTCAGTCCCAATTAAGTGCAAGATGACCCTAGGCTTTATCATTAAAATTTTATATGTACTCTTTTTTAACCAGGTTTATCAGATGCTTAAAAACATACACACTTCAGTAAAGGTAGAGTTGATAAAGTCTGAGAACCCTGGACATCCCAGCTGGGAAAGGGGCAGAGGAGTACTCAGACAAATGAGAGGATAAACATGAATCTCTAAGGTTGGTGGGTCCAACAAAAATAAAGTGCAACTTCCTAACTTTGCCTGGAATTCTCTCTGAATTTCAGAGGCCTTAGGGTGATACACTGCATATTCCCTTACTTACCCTCTTTTCTCTAAAGACTAGAGTTCACTTTTCTGCCCATATTAGTTCTTATCTTTTAAGTAGCCCAGGAAAATTCATATTATAAATGTAAAGAATAAATGGATAAAGCACAGAACAGGAAACATGTAAATTTGAGGAAAAGAGTGATAAACTGCTTGGGAAGGGGACTGACCCACACTTCTGCCGCAGGCTGGTGTGAGGAGGAGAAGTGGTTCTGCTTCAGTCTCTCACTGATATTAGGAACTGTAGGCAGTCTCTTACTATGCCTGGGCAGGGTTGGGGGGTGGGTAGGCATGCGAGTAATAAAGAAGATGGGTGGTGAGTGGGAGGCCCCATATTTCCTTACCAGCCTCCCTCCTGGTAGACACAGATTTCTAATTGACTGCAACTTTCTGTCCTTTCAGCCATCAATGGGATGATCTACAACTTGCCCGGCCTGAGAATGTATGAGCAAGAGTGGGTGAGGTTGCACCTGCTGAACTTAGGCGGCTCCCGAGACATTCACGTGGTTCACTTTCATGGCCAGACCTTGCTAGAAAACGGCACTCAACAGCACCAGTTAGGGGTCTGGCCCCTTCTACCTGGTAAAATACTTGGCAATGAAAAGAGGTCCCGGTAACAAATGGCGAGGCTGTAACTTAGCATCTGTAACTCCCTCCCATTCCCTCTTTGTGCATCTCCTTCCAAAGCAGTCAGGCATGGGCTCTGACACGGATCCTGGGCAAAGCTATATTCCAAACCTGCATGCAGAGTACAGAAGACTCGGCCAGTGTCTGCACTGTTTGCACCACAGCACAGACTAGATCTGCAGCCCAGCTTGGTTCTACGGAGATGCTATGTCTAGTGCAGGTTCTTCCAAGCCTTTATGTGTCATGCAGGCCAGGTCTTAAGCAGATTACAAAACGAATCCCACAAGGGTCAGGCATCTAAAACATTCCATTGGGCAGAGATCAGAGACTAACCAGGATTTCAGTGTTCTTGAATTCTACTCCTCAGTCTTATCACCCTGATATCTGTGGGCTGTCGGAATCTGAATCTTAAACTGACTTATGAAATGAAGAATATATTTTTAAATGATTATAAAAGCCAAAGAATAATAAAGGTATTTAAATCTTTTCATATGCAAAATAATGACTAGGTTTAAACAAACTCCAACCTTCAAAAAGGATGTTTATGTTCCAATGAATTGCTTGTAGGTGTGTGACTAGGGGTGTGTTTGATACAACTGATCCTCAAACTGTAGTGGGCATAACAAAAACCTACAAAGCTGGTTAAAATGCAGATGCTTTAAAGAGAGTTTGCTCTCAGAGACTTTGATCTGGTAGAACTTGGGCAGGAGCCCAGCAGTCTGCATTTTTAATAAGCAGCGTACCTTCCACAAATGGTATCTAAGAAGCTAGTCAGGGCACTTCCTTGATAGGATTTAGAGTGAGGAAGTTGCCGTGTGAATCAGCCTCAGAAGTAGGCACACTAGTCCAAACAGGCCCGATGTGGTTAAGGATGGGGGAAGATAGGCTCCCCAGGTGGCGCAAGGGGTAAAGAACCCGCTACCAATGCAGGATACATGGGTTTGATCCCTGGGTTGGGAAGATCCCCTGGAGGAGGACATGGCAACCTACTCTAGAATTCTTGCCTGGAGAATCCCATGACAGTGTAGCCTTGTGGGCTACAGTCCATGGGGTCACAAAAGAACTGGACAGGACTGAGCGACTAAAACAACCAACAAATCACACACTGAGTAAGCTAGAGCCTCACAGCAGGAGATTCCTTGAAACTTCTGCCTATTTACTTTGAATGCAGAGTTCCAAAGAATAGCAAGGAGAGATAAGAAAACCTTCCTCAGTGATCAATGCAAAGAAATAGAGGAAAACAACAGAATGGGAAAGACTAGAGATCTCTTCAAGAAAATTAGAGATACCAAGGGAAACTTTCATGCAAAGATGGGCTCGATAAAGGACAGAAATGGGATGGACTTAACAGAAGCAGAAGATATTAAGAGAGGTGGCAAGAATACACGGAAGAACTGTACAAAAAAGATTTTCACAACCCAGATAATCACGATGGTGTGATCACTCACCTAGAGCCAGACATCCTGGAATGTGAAGTCAAGTGGGCCTTAGGAAGCATCACTATGAACAAAGCTAGTGGAGGTGATGGAATTCCAGCTGAGCTATTTCAAATCCTGAAAGATGATGCTGTGAAAGTGCTGCATTCAATATGCCAGCAAATTTGGAAAACTCAGCAGTGGTCACAGGACTGGAAAAGGTCAGTTTTCATTCCAATCCCAAAGAAAGGCAATGTCAAAGAGTGCTCAAACTACCACACAATTGCACTCATCTCACACACTAATAAAGTGATGCTTAAAATTCTCCAAGGCAGGCTTCAGCAATATGTGAACGGTGAACTTCCAGATGTTCAAGCTGGTTTTAGAAAAGGCAGGGGAACCAGCGATCAAATTGCCAACAAGCGCTGTATCATCAAAAAAGCAAGAGAATTCCAGAAAAACATCCATTTCTGCTTTATTGACTATGCCAAAGCCTTTGACTGTGTGGATCACAATAAACTGTGGAAAATTCTGAAAGAGATGGGAATACCAGACCACCTGACCTGCCTCTTGAGAAACCTATATGCAGTTCAGGAAGCAACAGTTAGAACTAGACATGGAACAACAGACTGGTTCCAAATAGGAAAAGGAATACATCAAGGCTGTATATTGTCACCCTGATTACTTAACTTATATGCAGAGTACATCACGAGAAACATTGGGTTGGAAGAAGCACAAGCTGGAACCAAAATTACCAGGAGAAATATCAGTAACCTCAGATATGCAGATGACACCACCCTAACGGCAGAAAGTGAAGAGGAACTAAAGAGCCCCTTGATGAAAGTGAAAGAGGAGAGTGAAGAAGTTGACTTAAAGCTCAACATTCAGAAAACTAAGATCATGGCATCTGGTCCCATCACTTCATGGCAAATAGATGGGGAAACAGTGGAAACAGTGTCAGACTTTATTTTGGGGGGCTCCAAAATCACTGCAGGTGGCGATTGCAGCCACGAAATTAAAAGACGATTACTCCTTGGAAGGAAAGTTATGACCAACCTAGATAGCATATTAAAAAGCAGAGACATTACTTTGCCAACAAAGGTCCATCTAGTCAAGGCTATATTTTTTCCAGTGGTCATGTATGGATGTGAGTGTTGGACTGTGAAGAAAGCTGAGTGCTGACGAATTGATGCTTTTGAACTGTGGTGTTGGAGAAGACTCTTGAGAGTCCCTTGGACTGCAAGGAGATCCAACCAGTCCATCCTAAAGGATATCAGTCCTGGGTGTTCATTGGAGGGACTGATGTTGAAGCTGAAACTCCAATACCTTGGCTACCTCATGCGAAGAGTTGACTCATTGGAAAAGACCCTGATACTGGGGGGTCTGGGGGCAGGAGGAAAAGGGGACAACAGAGGATGAGATGGTTGGATGGCATCACTGACTCAATGGACATGGGCTTGGGTGGACTCCAGGAGTTGGTGATAGACAGGGAGGCCTGGCGTACTGCAATTCATGGGGTCGCAAAGAGTTGGACACAACTGAGCGACTGAACTGAACTGAATAGGACACTACAGAAAGAATGACTGAAGTGACTTAGCACTCTCGCACATGGGGGAAAAAGGGGTTCTGTTTGTTTGCAACATACCAGTTTCTCATTAACAAAGCTATCAAAAGCCACTCTATTAAAATCAGGGACAGAAAGGGTTAGGTCAGGCTCACCCCTAACTTCTCACCAAGTAAGACCAGATCAGTTATCCCTTCCACAAGCCTGGGAGAAGTGGGTCAGGGAACTGGCCCACTTAAATCTTCACACCTAACACCTGCATTAGAGAGTAGAAGGCTGGAGATCTTTTTTTAGTGTGTCTGAGGAGGATGGTGATCAGTTATTACTTTTTATTCACAATCTAGGAAATGGTCACAAATCATAGTCAATAGAATTTAAGTATTAACTGGTGGTAGGAAATGTTAAATACCAGAATGAATAATCAGAGGTTTCAGAAATTTCATTCTTTCAGTGCTTTTCTGAAACAATATTTGTACACCTCTATCTAAAATGTAAACTTTATAGAAAAAATGAAATATGGGGGAAGGATGTTTTATTTTAATTTTCTCATATAAAAAAGAAAAACTAGAAAAATGAAGAGAAGGAAACATGTACAATATTTGTGAGGCCCAATGACTATCATTCAAGGTTGCTTTGATAAGCTGCATTATGTATGGGTTAACTTGTAACATGATATTTAGATAAATGAAAAATTTCTTTTTGTAAGGGGTACTGGAGATTTTTTAAGGTCCCAGGGCAATTTGTGTTTAGTGAGTGTGTGTGAGTCATTGTTTTGATACACCTGTAATACTGCCTAAAGAGAAATGGCTAACTCAAGTTATATTCTAAATCACTTGCTATGCAGAGATTTTAGGATTCTTTGGTAGGAGTCAACCAGTGTTACCTGTTAATCTTTGGGTATGCAATGTTGTCTTTTATTTTAGGTTCATTTAAAACTCTTGAAATGAAGGCATCAAAACCTGGCTGGTGGCTCCTAAACACAGAAGTTGGAGAAATTCAGACAGCAGGGATGCAGACACCATTTCTCATCGTAGACAGAGGTATCATCCAAGAGCCACGTTATTTTTTTGTTTTAGCAGGAGAGTACCTGTTCCTAGAATATCACCAAGTTTTAGATTGGAAATATTCAACTCTGAGAACTCTGACATGACAGAGGCATGATCTGTAGCAGTAATTGCTTTTATTCCAACCTAGAGTCTGACTATACTGCAAGCATCAGTCTGCTAGGAATCTTAAACTAAATGATTCAAACCAAAGGCATTCCTCTCATTTGCTGAAGCGAAATAAAGGGTCCTCCTTCATGATTTGTGGTCCATGGGGAAGCGCATTGTGAGAAATTCTCCAGACTTCTAGAGCAGAGGAAGGGAAAGATACCAGGAATTCAGCTATGACCAAGACAGTCACTGAACTTGGCATTTTGGTATTCAAGAAACACAGTTTCCATCTGTCCATCCACTAATCCAGCTAGCCAGCTAGCCAGCACTTATTAAGCACCTGTTGAGTACCAAGCACTGTGTCAACATCCAAATAGCTCAGTGGCTAGCATTCCCTTCTTTGTTCAGGACATAAACAACATTGTAACTTTCAGGTCAACTTTTGAGAACACAGTCTTATGAAGGGTAGTACTTAATATTGTAAAATGGCTTATTTTAAGATACAAAAAGATGGAAATCAATTTTAAAACTATTTGCACTTCTGGATAAGTTGTTTTCCACTAGGGTGTCATTAATTTTCATTTCTATTAAGTATCAGTCTTGCCAGTCCATTTATGATTTCATGATCAGACATATTTAAGTCGGTTGCAACACAGATAGGTGAAAACAACTAATTACTGACCCAGAAGAGGTATATCTTTAGCCACGGAGATTTTACTTTGTTACATGTGCTTTCTAAGCAAAGTTTATTCATTGTTCTATTTCTTGTAGAATGTAAGATGCCAATGGGACTAAGCACTGGCCTGATAGCTGACTCACAGATTCAGGCTTCCGAGTTTTGGGGTAAGTAGTAGCATCATAGCCTGTGAAAGGCACCTACAACCTGTGCTGTAAACAGCCTGTAAAACCATACATGATGACCCTGCCTCCATGTGTCACTGCTCCTCTCAAGGCTTTTCTCCACCACATTTTGATAGTAAAAGAGCAGTAAAGTATCTAATTACTGACCCACCAGAGGCATCATCCCTAGCCATGGAACTTATACTTTGTTATGTGTATTTTCTAAGAAGAATTTTGTCATCATTGATTTTTTACAGAATGTAAAGGTGTCAATGGGACTAAACTGTGTAATATTCCAGCCAGAATCGCAGGGTCTTACAGGCAACATAATATAGTTCCCATTAATAGACCCCTTTGCTGTGTTAACCATTCATCTATTCAAGAAATTTTTTGTTTACCCAGTGTGCATCAAGAACTCCTCAGTTTCCTCTCTTTGCCTCAAACTCTTACCAAGATCAAGAGGTCAAATGTAAAGGATCAGGCATGTGTACAAGCTACGTCTCTTCAGTCATGTCCAACTCTTTGTGACCCTATGGACTGTAGCCCTCTCCCTGTCCATGGGATTCTCCATGGACTGAAGAATACTGGAGTAGGTTGCCATTTCCTTCTCCAGGGGGAAAGGATCATGAAGCTCCCATAAATCTGCCCCATATCTTTCTGTTAGGCAGGCACAATCAGCAGAAGCCACATCAGCATAACTGAGAAAAAATAAACATGACCTATTTTCAAGAAAAGGGGGTGGGTGGTGGTTGATAGCTGTCCAAGCACAGGCCTGAAACCAAGATTTCATCATCAGGGACTGACTTAGTAGCTGAGGCCCATTTCCATTGCTTGGTTTCCTAACTAAAACAGAAGTTCCTTTAGAAACCTGATTTTCCACGGGGACTAAATTCACTTGAGAAATTGCTAGTTGGGTGTTCGTTTTGTTTTACTTCTAAATAAATTATTTTCTCCCTTTGTATTTAGGTTATTGGGACCCCACATTAGCAAGATTAAACAATGGTGGATCATACAATGCTTGGATCCCAGAAAAACTTTCAACAGAATTGAACTCTCAACCTTGGATCCAGGTATGTCTTATTAACCTGATTATGCATGCATGCTCAGTCATGTCCGACTCTTTGCAACCCCGTGGACTATAGCCCACCAGGCTCCTCTGCCCATGGGATTCTCCAGGCAAGAATACTGGAGTGGTTTGCCATTTCCTCCTCTAGGGGTCTTCCCGACCCAGGGATTGAACCTGTGGCTCTTGCCTTGCCTGAGCCACCTGGGAAGGCCCAACCTGATAATAGTTACTGCTATTGTAATAATAAAAACGACAGTGGTTTAATAATTTCTTCTTGTTGTTCTTGCAATGCCGTTAGGGGAAATGGCAATTTCTAGGTGCTATTGGAGAAGGAAATGGCAACCCACTCCAGTGTTCTTGCCTGGAGAATCCCAGGGACAGGGGAACCTGGTGGGCTGCCGTCTATGGGGTCGCACAGAGTTGGACACGACTGACGTGACTTAGCAGCAGCAGCAGCAGCGGCAGCATTTTATATACTTTACATACTCAAAACTTGTGAGGTTAGTTCTAGCGCTACCCTGTCTTACAGATGAAAAAAACTAAGGCACGGAAGGATTAACTAACTTCCCAATGTCACACACAACTAGTTTCTGGTTGAGTTTGGATTCCAATTCAGGTATCCTGTGTTCAAATATGGATTGCACCTAGCCATTTTATTAGTTTGTTTGCTGTTATTTTGTTCTAAAGAAAGTTAGCTGTACAGTGACTTCAGGCAGTGTGTGTGTGACTTGTTGACAAGGATAGTTCTGCTCAATGGCTTTGCTATATTGCAGGTAGACATGCAAAAGGAAGTCCTGCTCACAGGGATCCAGACCCAGGGCGCCAAACACTACCTGAAGTCCTACTACACCACCGAGTTCTGTGTGGCTTACAGCTCAGACAAGAAAAACTGGCGGATCTTCAAAGGGAACAGCACAAAGAATGTGATGGTCTGTGTGCACCGCTGTTTCTTCCCAAGCCTAGGGTTACTATATCTTTTTAAAAAATACCTTTTGGGTGTTACAAATACAAACGGCATTTTTAGTGTTTTATGAGGAAAAGTGGTAAAGTGATGTGTCTGTGTAAACTAAAAAAAAAAAAATAACCTTAACTTTTGAAATTTTGAAACTCCATAAAACTTGCAAGAAAAATCTCTTTATCATCAAACTAAGTATCCAGACTTCTCAGATTGGCAGATGATATATAGCAGAATATCTGGTTGTGTGCCTTAAAGAGCCCATGCTAAAATTTGGCCACCAATTTTCCATTTTACTCTCACATTTTATTTTGTTCTTTAGTTCAGTGTAACTGAAGGAAGCTCCAAGTGAAGGAAATAGTAGTGTTAATACCAGCAATGCTGTGAGGCAGTGTGATTCTCATGTTTCTGTTGTTTTTTTTTTTTTTTTTTTGCTGTCATGCCTGAGGACTGATGTTCCCCTGCTGGATCTTCCAAAGGCTCAGCCAGGGTTATTCCCAATGACCCAATTTTTCCAGCCCTAATCCTTCCCCTCCTCCCTTGCCCCTCTCTCCAAAGAAAGCTATCTGAATACAAGGATCAGTCCATTATTATACTGATAACCTTGAATCAGTTTCATTTTTTTTCTGTAAATCATTTACTATTTTACTATCTTCTATGTCATCACTTAGCTATTTCTTATAATAAATCATTTGCACTATAACCTTAGAATAGATCATGAAAACCTTAAATTATGAGTCTTACCAATCAGTATTGCAGAGAGTACACAAATTAAAGTCCATAGCTTGAAGGTTTTTGCATCTATGTTCTTGAGGGTTATCTGTATATAGTTTTGTTTCTACTGTCCTTTTGTTTTAATGTGACAATAATACTAGCTTCATAACATAAATTAGGCAGCATGCGCTTCTATTTTCTGGAAGAGATTATCTAGTATTGATGTTAATTCTTTAAACTTTTGGTATAATTCAACGGTAAAAGCCACATAGACCTGGAAATTTCTTTTCTGGGACTTTTTAAATTACAAATTCATTTTTTAAAATAGTTACATGTTATTCAGATTATCTATTTCATTTTGGGTGAATTGGGATAGCTTGTGTTTTCTCAGTCAATTGAGTCACTTCTTCTAAGTTGTTAAATATATGTGTACAGGTTATTTGTATTATTCCCTTATTGTCCTTTTGATTTGTGTCGGGTCTGTAGTGATATTGCCTATTTCATTTACGATATTGGTAACATGCATCTCTTCTCTTTCTTGCTTTATCAGTCTTACTACAGATTTGCCAATTTTCTTTAATCTTTTTAAAGAACTGGCCCTTTGTTTCATTGCTCTTATCTATTGCTTTACTGTTTTCAAGGCTACTGATATCTGCTTTTATCTTCTGGCTCTTTCTGACACTGCTTTGCCAGGGAAAGGGGATGGGACACAGCCTGTTTACTGCCAGGAAGAGGTCACAGTCCATTTTCCACTTGGCCTCCTCTGTTGACACGTGAGCTGGGACCCCTCTCCTCTTTGCAGATGGGTAGGAATGGAATAGTCTCCACTGATACTGCAAGAGTGAGAGCCTTATTATTAGATAGAAGAGATGGAAATCCTGGGTCTCTATTTTGTTTTCTCTGACACAACTCCAGTGACAGTGTTGGGTGCCTCGTTACAGTCTCTTGAGCATAGGAGTCTAGGTTCCCCACCGGGCCTTTGCAGCTGTCGGTAGGGAAGGGGACACAGTGCTTTCTAAGCTATGGTGTTTGGCTTGAAGTAGAACAATTGTTGTCTACAAGTTTTCAGTCTTGCTAGACTGCCCTTTCCTGGTCCTGAGGCTGGAGAAAAAATGCTTCTGCTGTTTTTTTGTTTTTGTTTGTATGTTTATCTGCACCTATTGGTGGCTCCTGATTCCTGGTTTCCTTACTTATAAGTCTGTATATGAGGTAAAAAGAAAACCCAAGGGACTGACCACTGTGTTGTTCCTTGGGTCCTGAGAACCCTAGCCAGTCTGCCTTCTCTTCTCCACCTCTCAGAGTCTTTCTATGTTTTCAGTTGTACTCAGCAGGAGGAACAGGGCAAATTTCATCTATACTATCTTCCTGAAGTGGAAGTAGCCCCAGTTATCTTTTAAGACCAAATTAATTTGACTCAGGCTAGCTGAAAATGTAATATTACAGTACTAAATTGGATGAAAATTTTAGTATAAAATCACTTTATAGAGAACTGTTACATGACTAAAATTTCCTCTTTCCCTCTAGTATTTTGGTGGCAATTCAGATGCTTCTACAATAAAAGAGAATCATATTGACCCACCTGTTGTGGCCAGGTACATCAGGATCTCTCCAACTGGGTCCTATAACAAAGCTGCCCTTCGACTGGAGCTGCAAGGTTGTGAGGTTAATGGTAAGGAACGTAGATGCACTGTTTTCTTGCTCAGTTCAGTTCAGTCTCTCAGTGGTGTCCAACTCTCTGCAGCCCCATGGACATTTTTTCACTGCTATTTATCAAATCAACATTTGGGGCATATGGGAGAATGAGTAGAATTCTTAGTTTTCTCCAATCACTAAGGCTCCTAGAAAAATCTCTGTGAAACACAGGTTCCATTCAAGGAATGATCTAGACTGAGACTGGTTCTAGCAGCCAGAGGGTAGGCACCATCTCTCTGAACAATGTCTGGACCATATGGACATTGCTCTGACGCTCCAAAGAAGGACCCTAGCAGAGAATGACCTCCACCAGCCCATTTTCAATAAGAGCTGAGAGTCAAACTGGGTCTGACCCTTCTAAAAGCCTTCCAACCAGGTCATTCAGACTTTAATATAATAAAAGTGTCTTGCAACATTACTGGCATGTATTAGGTATTCAATAATTGTTTTTGAGAACTAAATCTGCTTCCCAACTTCCTGAAACCTTGATTGAACTCTGTCTTCTGTTTCACATTCTATGTAGGTACCCAAGCCTTTTCTAAGTAAGTTTCTGTTTTTCAGGGGATGTAATGTGACCTGTGGTATATATAAATCTAGGCAATCATAAATGGCAATAATAAAATTCTTCCATATATAATAAGATGCTTAAGGTTCTCATCAACTATTCTCCTCTCTTAAAGTGGTACTTTCCAACATTTTTTACTTCAAAGCATATATAGAATATAACCTCGGTCTCAAAGTCTGCAGTAAAAGAATGAAACAGACCACCCTGGGCTTGGCAGATCCAAGCACCACCAAGTTGCCCAAGGACTGAGGGAGGAGGGAGATTAATATACAAACATACCCAAAACTTGCTGCGGCATACCTACTGGGAAGGTACAGCACCTTCTCTCAGGGCAGAGGGAAAAAAGTACAGCTCACAGTGGAGAAAGCAACTGAACCTTGGAATCAGTTTCTTATTAAAGCAGATAATAATACAATAAACTCTTGACATTCATGAAGGATATGGAAAGGGCATTTTACCCATGCCCACATAGCCATGGTATATAACATCCTCCATGTAAAATGCAAATTTTGTATAAGCAGGAAAACGTGAAATAGCTCCATAGCATAGCGTGTGCGTGCACAGTTATGTCTGACTCTTTGCGACCCCATGGACTGTAGCCCATCAGGCTCCTTGGCCCATGGAATTTTCCAGGCAAGAATACTGGAGTGGATTGCCATTTCCCCCTCCAGGGGGAGCTTCCCAACCCAGGGATCGAACCCACATCTCCTGCATTGGCAGGCAGATTCTTTGCCACTGAGCCATGTGGGAAGCCCTGAAACAGCTCTTTAAGTCATTAGTTTTTTTCTTTCCATATGGGATATGATGTTAACTGGTAGTTTGTTCAGGTCACAGAGTCAAGCTACCCTAAAATGTGACATTCAACAATGCTAGTCTATTTAAAATCTCCATCTAATACATAATACAAGAAGCATTAATTTTAAAATCTCTTCACTTTCTTGATGTTTATATGATTAGTATCAACAACAGACCTTCTTTTAAGCCTATTTTTTCTTGGAGAAAGTAAGGTATCACTTCAAGAAAATGTCTACATGACTTACTAGCAAGAACAGTGTCTCATCTCTGTGACACTTTATATACATAGGGGCTTTCCAGGTGGCTCAGATGGTAAAGAAACAGCCTGCAATGTAGGAGACTCAGGTTTGAACCCTGGGTTGAGAAGATTTCCTGGAGAAGGGGATGGCTAGCCACTCCAGTATTCTTGCTTGGAGAATCCCATGAACAGAGGAGCCTAGCGGGCTATCGTCCATGGGGTCGCAAAGGGTAGAACACAACTGAGCAACTAACACTTTCACTTATAAATGTGGATGTTTAGGAGTATTGTCTACCTCAAAGCAGAGTTCAAAGTTTCCATGACTCTCTGAAGGAGGGAGATGAGTTTAGATGTTTAGAACATGGCATTTGATGTCAGACTGCCTGGGCTCAAATCTAATTTCTGATTCTTTTCGCAGTGTTACTTGAGTCAAGTTTCTTTTTCTTGCTGGGCTTGTTTTTTCATTTGTAAACTGGAGCTATTAAAGAGCATTAAGTAATACACGTATAGACTGAAAATATCATTGCTGTGATGGTTGTTTTGTTGTTACTTAGCAATAATATTATTTGTCTCTGCTGAAGTACAAAATACAATACAAGGAGTATCCGTGGTATGTAAATAATCACATTACTTTTCTCTTGACAGGATGCTCCACACCGCTCGGTATGGAAAGTGGAAAGATAGAAGACAAGCAAATCACTGCTTCCTCATTTAAAAAGTCTTGGTGGGGAAATTACTGGCAACCCTCCCTTGCACGTCTTAATGCCCAGGGCCGTGTAAATGCCTGGCAAGCTAAGGTGAAATGTCCCCTGTGAATGGAGTTCTCTCAGTCTTTTTGAAGAAAGCATAGGCCCTCACTCCAGGGGACACGGGAACCTGGGAAGCCAGAAGATCATCCCTTGCTTCTACAGAGTATGATCCTATGTCTGAGAACTAGGATGTGTGTTGTCTTGACAGTTTTAGCTCAGAGAGAGGTTATCATCTCTGTGGTCTTGATTTAGATTAGGGGCGGGCAAAACTTTTCTGCAGAGGGCCAGATAATATTCTAGGCTTTGTGAGCCATGCATTCTCTGTCATAATTACTCAACTCTACTACTGTTGCAGGAAGCAGTCATCAACAATATATAAATGAGTGAGCATGGCTGTGTTCCAATAAAACTTTATTTACAAAAACAGGCAGTAGGCCAGACTGGGCCTTGGGCTGTATTTTGCCAGCTCCTGATTGAGACAACTTATATTAGCAGTAAATGATTTAGATTTGTACCATCTTCTCTTCTTTGGTTCCCTCTATAATCTAGCACTATCCTTTATTTTTTAAGAGTGTCATTAAAATTTTTTTGTTCCTGTTTTTTCAGAACTCTGTAACATTCCTTTACATTAGTGGCATGATAAAATGCTGCCAAACCAGGTTTTTAAATCTGTGATCTAAGTTTTATAAACATCTCACAGAGAGTTATATTGCCTTAGATGTTAGCCCATTGAGCAATTAAGGTAACTTAGTTCTAGGGTAACTATTAATATTGACTCATATTTATTTCATTCTTCAACTGACCTGGAAAATCAGAATGCCATAAGAAATCAGAACAGTCCAGTCAATCAACGTAAGCCAAGTTCCCTATCTTCTATCCCCCTAACACCCTCTCTTAAGAAGGTGAAGGTTGCTCAGTCATGTCTAATTCTTTGTGACCCCATGGACTATACAATCCATGGAATTCTCCAGGTAAGAATACTGGAGCCTCTTCCCTTCTCCAGGGGATCTTCCTAACTCAGGGGTTGAACCCAGGTCTCCCGTGTTGCAGGTAGATTCTTTACCAGCTGGGCCACAAGGCAAGCCCAATAATACTGGAGTGGGTAGCCTATCCCTTTTCTAGTGGATCTTCCTGACCCAGGTTCTTTACCAACTGAGCTATCAGGGAAGCCCCTCTCTTAAGAAAGCTATACTACAATTCCCTGGACGCTCTTTAGAATTCTGTGTCCTAATCTTAAGTCAGGCCACCAGAAAGGAAAAGGGAGTTGTATGGTGCAAGCGGAGTAAACAAGAGTTTGGGCCCCATCTTAGGGCTTCCCAGATGGTTCTAGTGGTAGAGGATCCACCTGCCAATGCAGGAGACATAGAGATGGAAGTTTGATCCCTGGATTGGGAAGGGCATGGCAACCCACTGCAGTACTCTTACCTGGAGAATCTCATGGACAGAGAAGCCTGGTGGGCTACAGCCCATAGAGTCACAAAGACTCAGACTCACTGAAGAGACTTAGCAGAGACTCCATTTGGATGGTCTCGGGGACCAATATCTGTGCCCTGAAATTCATTTCTCAACTACCACAGAGTCACAGAATGTTAGAAAGGCAAGGGATTTTTACAAAGCATCTGGTCCAGATTTTCTTAAAGTCTAAACACATGCATCCATGCTAAGTCACTTCAGTCGTGTCCGACTCTGTGACTCTATGGATTGTAGCCAAGTCTAAACACAAAGGAGGTTAAATAATTTTAGTTTAGCCTGGCGGCAGAATCAGGAATCCCACTCTCCAAATAAACAGATCTGTGCTCCTTGTACCATCTGAAGCAACCCAAGAACTCATTTTGCAATTTTGCAAAAGGGAACTGAGACCCACAGAAATTAAAAGTAATAAAAGTGACAGTGTTGTATAACATTTTTATTTAATTTCTATAATATAAATAATGAAGTGAAAGTCACTCAGTTGTGTCTGACTCTGCAACCCCATGGACTGTATAGTGGAATTCTCCAGGCCAGAATAATAGAATGGGTAGCTGTTCCTTTACTCCAGGGGATCTTCCCATCCCAGGGATCAAACCCAGGTCTCCCACTTTGTAGGCAGATTCTTTACCAACTCAGCCAAAAGGGAAACCCAAGAATACTGGAGTGGGTAGCCTATCCCTTCTCTAGCAGATCTTCCTGACCCAAGAATCGAATCAGGGTCTCCTGCAATGCAGGAGGATTCTTTACCAGCTGAGCTACCAGAATAGCCCTGTAATATAAATAAGATAATAAAAAATAATTATTATTCCCTTGCAATTCAGTGATAAGGGACTCTGTACTTTCCCTGCAGGGGGCATGTGTTTGATCTCTGGTTAGGGAACTAAGATCCCACATGCCATGCAAGGCAGCCAGGGAATTTTAGGTCAGAACTATTTGTTTCTCTTAACCTTCAATCAGTATAAAATGTCTTTTATAGAGCTTCTTTAGAGAGGCTGAAAATCTAAGCCAGGCATGTGCAGGTATGCGCACAAGTGTCTCTATCTCTTTTATGGTAGAGACTAAAAGATATACACGTACAAAAATCCTCTAGTTACCTATATGCATTCTGTATCATTCATACAACATTGAAGACACAATAAAACTCCAGCAGATGTCACTACAGGATGTTACAAAAATAACCCAAATTATCTAATACAGTACCTTTAAATTTAATTAATTTGCTTTAAAAATACAGTAACATGTGACTATACATATACATACATATGTGTATACACATACAGCCATGTACATATGCGTGATCTTGAGAAAATATATATTGGTTATTTCATATAGAATTGAACAAGACTATGCTGTTGTTTAGTCGCTAAGTTGTGTCTGACTCTTTGAGACCCCATGGACTGCAGTCCATCAGGCTCCTCTGTCCATGGGATTCTCCAGGCAAGAACACTGGAGTGGGTTGCCATTTCTTCTCCTGGGGATATTCCGGACCCAGGGCTCGAACCTGCACCTTCCGCGTTGGAAGGTGGATTCCTTACCACTGAGCCACTAGGGAAGCCCAGGTGAGACTCTGGGGCAGGATAAATCTCCCAAAGATGAAAATTAATCTCAAATTATTTCAAAACTCAATTAATCTTTCTGATCCTCTTTCTCCAAGCACCTAATGCCAAACATATGATTAGGCATTTTGTTTAGGTGAGAGACAAAATGACTACTATGGCATGTCCAGCCCCAGGTGTAGCTTTATCAAGTCTCTCAAATAACATGTTTATTTGAAATATCATAAAAGAAGAAATTGTACCTCTTCTCCTATTTGACATTAGCAATGAAAATAAAACTGGAGCTTTTCTAAAATAAGTAAGAGAGAGTATACTCTCTAGTTCTTTCCCAGATAACTCTTCAATAGTAGCATAGTAGTATTTAATTCTTTTATCTTTTCATTGTGGTAAAAGTCACATAATATAAAGCATACTATTTTAAACCATATTTAACTGTACAGTTCAGTGAACTAAGTACATTCACATTGTTGTGCAACTCTCACCATCATCAGTCTCCCAAATTTTTCACCTTCTTAGACTGAAATTCTGTCCCCATTAAACACTAACTCCCTATTTCCCTTTTCCACCCCTCCTCACCCTATGGCCCCTGGCATCCATCAATATACTTTCTGATTCTATGACTTTGACTATTCTAGGCATCTCGTATAAGGGGAATCAAACAGTATTTGCACTTAATGTATACTGCAATGCATTTTATACTATACCATCATAGTATTTTAAACCAACTTGCTTAAGAGAAAAATATTTACAGATAATTTAGCAATTGATTTTTTTCTCAGATAAAATATATTTATTTTTTGAGCTCCATCTGTGTGCCATACATTTTAAGTACCTGGAAACAAAGCTAAGTCCCTGCCCTCAAAGAGTAAGGAATACAAGTAAACAAATAACTATTGTACAATGTGTAAAACATTCCAGAAGTTTCTAAACATGCCGATGATAAATGAGAAAGAATAGAGAAGGATTCTAGGAGAAAGGAAATTTTCAGAGATGAGACAGAAAAGAAATCCTTTGACCTCACTGCATTTCTGAGTATCTCGATCTAAAAAAAGGAAAGGTTTTAACCTCTCTCTCATCCATTGTTCTAATCATTTTCATAGGCGAACAACAACAATCAGTGGTTACAAATCGATCTGCTCAAGACCAAGAAGATAACTGCGATTGTAACACAAGGCTGCAAGTCTCTGTCCTCTGAAATGTATGTGAAGAGCTACACCATCCACTACAGTGACCAGGGCACGGACTGGAAACCTTACAGGGAGAAATCCGCAATCGTGGACAAGGTACAGGGAGATCTTGGCAAAAAGCAAACAATTTGAAAACTGCTATGATGAGAACAGTACCTCAAATTTGCAAATAGCTCTTGTATTTGAGAAGTGTGCAATGATGTGCATCACTCCTTAAGTCTTCTAAGTCCTGTACCTGGTCTTGGGACAGAGACCATGTATACTGTCTTTCTGTTTTGACTGAGGCATCTACAAAATAACGAGAACAACAGGGGATGGTGTGAAGTTTAACTGTCTCTGAGGAAGATGGTGAAAGAAAGGGTCATCTCAGCCTGCTTGGGCTGTGTAATGAATTACCACAGCCTGGGTGATAAACAAAAATCACTCATTTCACACGGTTCTAGAGGCTAGAATCCTAGATCAGGGTGGCACCACGGGCAGGTTCTTGGTGAGGGCAGTCTTCCTTGTTGTACCCTCCCATGGCCTTCCTTGATGTGTGCACGGGGAGACGGAGATGCCATGAAGGCCCTACCCCCATTCCTGGTCCTGATCACCTTCCAAAGGCCCCACCTGCTAGTATCATCTCATGGAGGATGAGGGTTTGAAGACATGAATTTTGGAAGGACACAAACGTACAATCTATAACAGGGGTCTAGAAAACCTACCATATTAGCATTAGCTTAGAAATACTTGTTATTCACAGCTGATCAAACACCTACGGCCATATGCCTTTCTGTGCCATATTGTTACTAAGCAGAAAACAACTGTTATCCTTCCCCATGAGGAGATTAATTTCTTGCAAGATGAATTACTCCATCACACTCTTAAATTCCTAGCTATGTGGATTTAAAATCTTACTAGAAGCAAAGCTAAGGAGATGAACCGAACATTCCAGGAGTGGGAACTGGGCTGAAACCAGTAGGAGGGGCAATACAGGAGTAGGGGATGGATGTTTACTGCATGCTCATCATGGATTCAGCCCTTATCCCAGTTAAAGGGTTTGAGTCTCTCTGTCTCTCTCTAAACCCCTGGTTTGTTTTGGTGGGTTTGGTTTATTTCTCACTGTATCAGAGTGTTCTCATAGTAGGGTAAACATCATTTTTATAAACAAATAGTGACTCAGTCTCCGATGTGTGTAAATCTTGGGGAACTTTCTGGGGACGATAAAAGCACACCTCAAACACAGTTTAGTTGAGGATGTAGGGCATATGACAGAAAGGGTATTAAATCATAAAAATGTATGACTGCATTTTAAATGTTAGTAATAACTAACCATAATCATTAGCTATTACTAGCATTTAAAATAAATGCAACAATGCATTTTTATGCTCATTATCTGGGACTTAATAAACACTTATCATATGTTGACATGCTCTTAAAATCTTCACAACAACTTCTACTAGGTAAAATCTATTATCTCCACTTTGTCAATGGGGAAAAAAGAGAGAATCAAAGTCTATAAGTAAGTTGCTCAAAGTCACATAACTACAAAGAGGCTAAAGATGGAGGTGTTTTTGTGGCTGCTTCACAGCACCATATCAGATTTCCTTAATTTTTCCTATTTCAACTCAGATCAGTGGAGAGGTGATATCTCTAAAGAGATATGTCTGGAGTGAGATTTCATAATTGATTGAGGATCATCTTTGTGATAAGTTGTATATGTTCATTGAAATCCACAGTTTGAACTAAAAAAGACAAAAATTTATCTGTAAGTTTTTTTAACTGAAATATAGCTGATGTACAATATTATGTTAGTTTCAGTTATAAGATTTCTATAGCCATTATGCCATCATTAAAGAGTTTCTCATATTTTGCTTTCAGATTTTTGAAGGAAATAATAATGTCAAAGGACATGTGAAGAACTTTCTCAACCCACCAATCATCTCCAGGTTTATACGCATCATTCCTAAAACATGGAATCAGAGTATTGCACTTCGCTTGGAACTCTTTGGCTGTGATATTTACTAGAATTGAATATTTAAAAAGATAGGAGGGACTCAAAGATATCAAACCACTTAGAGTAGGTAATGCATTTTATAGCTATTTTAAGTATTAAAATTTTTCCATTATTTCTTTTTTCTATTAGAGAATAACATTTTATATGTGAAACCTTTATGATATAACTCCTGGTAACCACTAAGATGACTATTATTTCTGCATTAATTTGAATATAGATAGGAAAACACCAAGAACCAACAAGAAAAGGCTTCTCTTTCACTGATTAAAAATTTTATATAAAGTAATATTCATATAATTAACATTCATTATAGTTTTGTTAAATGCTATACACATTAATAAAAGAAGTATTACTTCCTCAAACCACTCATAAACCCAGACAACTTTCATTCCTACATTTTTCCTTAAAAGAGCTATGATTAAGAGGATAGGGAAAAAACAGTATTTCTAAATGTTTTGCTTATCTTGACAATGGAGAAAAAAGAAAAAACAATCTTACTGCATGAAAGGACAAGTATTTAAAATGCCCTGTCTTACTGACATAACAATGATTGGTCTGAACCTCCAGGAGTAAAGATATAAGTAAGCATGTTTTCAGTGGTCCCGCCAGACTGTGACTCTGGCCTGGTTTCCCTTGGGACTGATTGCATACATTGATATTAAGGGTCAGGGATCATTAATAGGACAGATCTAAAATAAATATGGGATGGCTGAACGTGTAACCGTAATTGCATTCTAGCTGGTACTATTAAATGCTTGGCACACTGTTTCAAACATAGGCTCCTCTAAAGGACGGCAAATACTGTCAAAGAGACCATCGGAATTCTTGGCCCAAATGCAGCTGTTCCTGCTAGACCTGGCTCCAGGCACACAGCTGAAATTCTCTCTCACTGCCCTTCTCCTTATGGCCCAGCCTCTACCTCTCCCTTCCTCCTCTCCCTTCCCCTTTCAAGCACTCCCTTCCTTGGGAACTTGGCACCTCACGGTTTTACAGATACTGTGAGACTGGGTAACCTTCTGGTAGCCTCTAAGTCACACGAGAGAGAATCACTGGTGAGGCTATCTATTTTAGTGCAACAAACCACCCTAAAACTTAGGGCTTAAAACAACCAGAGATTCTCTCTCCTGGTTCTGTAGGCTGCCTGGGCACAATTAACTTCATTTGGGGTCTCTAGTCATCAGGAGACTCAACTCTGTGTTGGGACAGCTGGTCCTTTGTCCCTCTCCAAGTAGTTTCAGATTCTCTGCTCATTACATGGCTATCCACATGGTCTGTTCACTTGATGCCTCCAGCACTTGAGCTAGACTTCTTACACCATGATAGAGGTTCCCAAAAGCCAGAGTTCAAGAGGTAGGAAGCAGAAGCTGCCAGTCCTTTTAAAGCCAAGCCCAGCACAGACGCAGCCTCACCACTGCTGTATTCTACTCATTCACATAAGTCACAGGCCAGTCTAGATTCAGTGTAGGATGTCACGACACAAAGGTGGTTCTAGGAGATGTTAAGTCACTGGGAGCCTCTTCAGATACTAACTCCCAGAGTTACCTATTGCCCCTCTGAGTGGGGTGAGCATTATGAATGTATTCAAAAGCTTCAAACATCCACAAAACATTGACTTTCTTTATGTTTAAAAATTTTCATTTTTGAGGCATAATTGAAAAATAAAACAGAAATATATTTAAAGTGTATATGTTGGTTTGATACATGTGTGCATTGTAAAAGGATTCCCACCAGCAAGTTAATTAACATCCCCACCACCTCACAGTTACTTTTTTTAAAAAAAGAGAATACTGAAGATCTAATCTTAGCAAATTTCAATTATACAACACAATGTTATTGACTGTAGTCACCATGCTATACTGATGGTTTTCAGAATTTAATCATCTTAACAGTAAATTTGTACCTTTTATCATCCTTTTCCTATTTCCTCTACCAGGAAGCCCCTGGCAACCACCGTTCTACTCCTTATTACTATAAGCTTGACTTTTTAAAGGATTCCACATGTAAGTAATACCTTGCAGTACTTGTCTTTCTCTGTATAGCTTATTTCACTTAGAATGATACCCTCCAGATTCATCCACATTGTCACAAATGACAAGATTTTATTCTTTTCATGGCTGAATAATGCCCCATTGTTTATACAGACCACACTTTCTTTTTGGATTTTGAAAAATGCTGTAATGAACATGGAAGTGCAGCTCTGTCTTCAAGCCGGTGGTTTTCTTTTCTTTGGACATATACTCAGAAGTGGGGTTGCTGAATCATATGGTAGTTCTGTTTCTAATGTTTTAAGGAATCTCCACACTGTTTTCCACAGGTGCTATACCAATTTACATTGCTACCAACAGTGTATAAGGGTTCCCTTTCTCTATATCCTCACCAACACTTGTTATTTCTTATCTTTTTGATAATAGTTATTCTAATAGAGTTGCATTTTCATGGTGATTAGTGACACTGAGTATCTTTTAATATACTCATTGACCATCTATATGTCATCTTTGAAAAAGGACTATCCAGGTCTTTGCCTACTTTTAAATTCAGTTATTTGATGTTTTTGCTCTTGAGTTCTATGAGTTCTGTACATATTTAGGATATTAATCTCTTGTTGATTGTGTGGTTTGCAAATATATTCTCCTGTTTCATAGATTTCTTTTCCACTTTGTTGATGGTTTCCTTTGCTGTACAGAACTTTTAGTTTTGTAAATTCCATTTGTTTCCTTTTGCTTTTGCTGCCTGTGCTTTGGCAGTCATATCTAAAAAAGTCATTACCAAGACAAATGTCAAGGAGCTATCCTATGTATTTTATTTGATAAGTTTCATGATTTCAGGTCTAGAAGTCTTTAATACATGTTAAACTGATTTTTGTGTATGGTGTAAAATAGAGGTCCAATTTCATTCCTTTGCATGTGGATATCAAGTTTTCACACCATTTATTAAAGAGACTATCCTTTCCCCATTGGATATTTTTGGTGCCTTTGTCAAAAATTAATTGACCATATAGATTCATGGGTTTATCTTGGCTTTAATTCTATTCCATTGGTCTACGTGTCTGTGTTTATGCCAATTCCATACTGTTTTGATTGTGTGTGTACGTATGCTCAGTAGCTAAATCATGTCCAGCTCTTTGTGACCCTATGGACTATAGCCAGCCAGACTCCTCTGTCTATGGGATTATCCCAGCAAAAATGCTGGAGTAAGTTGCCATTCCCTCCTCCAGGGGATCTTCCCAACCCAGGAATCAAACTTATGTCTCCTGTGGCTCATGCATTGGCAGGCAGATTCTTTACCACTGAACCACGTGGGAAGCACCCACTGTTTTGATTACTACAGCTTTATGATACAGCTGAAATCAAGAAGTGTGATGCTTCCACCTCTCCTCTTTGTGTTCAAGATTGCTATAGTCATTCATTGGCTTTTGTGGATCTGTAGAAATTTTAGGATTGCTTTTTATATTTCTGTGAAAAAAAGCCATTGGAATTTTGAGAGGAATTGCATTGAATGTGTAGATTACTTTGCATAGTATGAACATTTTAACAATGTACATTCTTACAATCCATGATAGAAAATATCTTTCAATTTAATTGTGCCTTTGATTTCTTTTCTCAACATTTTATACTTTTCAGCATACAGATCTTTCACTTACTTGAGTGAGTTTATTCCTAAGTATTTTTTTTATTCTGTTATAGGTGGGATTATTTTCTTAATTTCTCTTTTCAGTAGTTCATTGTACAGAGAACAGGTCAGTGTATAGAAATGCAATTAGCTTTTGTATAATGATTTTGTATCCTGTAATTTTATTAAATTTATTTACTAATTCCAACGGCTCTTTAGTCGAGCCTTTAGGATTTTCTAAATATAAGATCATATCATCTGAAACTAATTTTACTTCTTCCTTTCAGATTTGAATGACTCTTTTTCCCTTGAGTTAATTGCTCCAGCTATAACTTCCATGTGTTGAACAGAAATGGTGAACATAGGCATCCTTTTCGTGTTTCTGATCTTCAGGAAAAGCTTTCAGTTTTTCACCATTGAGTATGTTAGCTGTGGCCTTGTCAGATATGCTGTTATTATGCTGGGGTGCATTTCATCCATACCTAACTTGAGAGTTTTTATCATGAATGTGAAAGCCACTCAGTCATGTCCAACTCTTTGTGACCCTGTGAACTGTAGCCCACCAGGCTCCTCTGTCCATGGGATTCTCCAGGCAAGAAAACTCAGGTGGATTGCCATTTCCTTCTCCAGGGAATCATCCCGAAACAGGAACTGAATCCGTCTCCTGAATTGAAGGCAGATTCTTTACTGTCTGAGACACCAGGGAATCCGTTTTATCATGAAAGTATATTGAATTTTGTCAAATACTTTTTCTGCGTTTATTGAAATATGATTTTTATCATTAATTTTTGTAATGTGGTATATCATATTTTGATTTGTAAATGTAGAACCAGAGATAAATCCCACATGATCATAGCATATTATCCTTTTAATGTACTGTTAAGTTTATGAAAATTTTGGTGAGCATTTTTGTATTTATGTTCATCAAGGATATCAGCCTCTAATTTTCTTTTGTATCCCTATCTGGCTTCAGTATAAGTAACGCTGGCCTTGTAATATAAGTTTGGAATGTTCCTTCTTCAATTTTTGGGAAGGATTTGAGAAGGATTGGTATTAATTCTAATGTGGGAGAATTCAACTGTGACATCATCTGGTCAGTTTCTGGATATTTATCTTGTTCTTCTGTTGGGAATATATTTTCTCAGTTATCCCTTTTTCTTGATTCTTTGCATTTGTTTCTGTGTATCAGATAAAACGGCCACCTCTCCAGTCTTGACAGACTGCCTCCTATAGGAGATGAACCTCATGAGCCAGCCTAGCCTGAGCTCCTGGTTGCCTCTTAAACTTTTGTGATTGACTAAGCCACTTTCTTTGTTCCTAGTGCTCCCAGTAGATTGCCGGGTGCTAAGACCTGCCATTGTCCCAAAGGCAGTGGGAGATGCCCACATGGCTGTTTAGGTTCCTGGAGGACTATTAACTGCCTTACCCATCAGCTCTCAGTTCAGCTCAGTTCAGTCGCTCAGCTGTGTCCGACTCTTTGTGACCCCCATGGACTGTAGCATTCCAGGCTTCCCTGCCCATCACCAATTCCCGGAGCTTACTCAAACTCATGTCCATCAAGTCAGTGATGCCATTCCACCATCTCATCCTCTGCCGTCCCCTTCTCCTCTCACCTTCAATCTTCCCCAGCATCAGGGTCTTTTCCAGTGAATCAGTTCTTTGCATCAGGTGGCCAAAGTATTGGAGTTTCAGCTTCAACATCAGTCCTTCCATTGAATATTCAGGACTGACTTCCTTTAGGATGGACTGGTTGGATCTCCTTGCAGTCCAAGGAACTCTCAAGAGTCTTCACTGACACCACAGTTCAAAAGCATCAATTCTTTGCCACTCAGCTTTTATTATAGTCCAACTCTCATATCCATACATGACTACTGGAAAAACCATAGCTTTGACTAGACAGACCTTTGTTAGCAAGGTAATATCTCTGCTTTTTAATATGCTATCTAGGTTGGTCACAGCTTTTCTTTCAAGGAGCAAGTATCTTTTAATTTCATGGCTGCAGTCCCCATCTTCTGTGATTTTGGAGCCCAAAAAGTAAAGTTTCTCACTGTTTTCATTGTTTCCCCATCTATTTGCCATGAAGTGATGGGACCGGATGCCATGATTTTAGTTTTCTGAATGTTGAGTTTTAAGCCAGCTTTTTCACTCTCCTCTTTCACTTTCATTGATGGAGGATAATTGGAAGCATGACTTTCAAGCAACAACTAAGAAAGTTAAGACATTAGATATGCAGTATAGACCTATCAGGGAGAAACCTGGAAATGGGTGTTTTTGCCTACTCACTCTGCTGAGCCAGAGGGAATAGTCTCTTGTAGTATCTGTGCACCCATGTAGAGCTACCTCTTCCTTTTCTTGGTCCTGGGGGACTCATAATTGCCAAGCCGAGTCAGTACCCAGAGCTCGGTGCCTTGGGAGCCAGTCCCTCACGGGGTAGCCATAATATTTGGTGTACTACATGGGTGGGTACGTTTCTTCCAGGGAGAAGCTGGAGACTTGGTGAGATAGAAGAGGACATGCCCACCAGCTCTTTCAGGCTCCTGGGAGGACCCCAGTCAGCTTCTGCAGGCAGGTTGATTAGAAGCCAGAACCTCAAATAGCATCTGAGAAAGTATACACCCAAATCCCCCCTAGGAAGAAACTAGGAGATGAATGTTTTTGCCTGTTCTCTCTGCACTGGGCCTTCAGAGGGAATAGTGACAAAAAGTGCTTGCCTGCCTGTTAGAAAACTGCTCTTTTAATTTTATTATGGTCCTACGGGACTCTGACTGTCAAGCCCTGTTGGATATCAGAGCTGTGTGATTTGAGCACATACTTCTCAAGTAGCAGTTTCCAAAGCTGGGGCACAAACTTCAAGGGAGAAGCTGGTGACTTGGTTTTTGTTGTTGTCATTGTGAGCCAGGGTAAGAATGTAGGGGAAATATCCACCAGCTCTTTTAGGCTTTTGAGATCCCAGATATTATCCATATCCAGGCTGATTAGAAGCTGGCCCCTCAGTCAGCTGCTGGGAAAGTATGCAGTGAAACCCCTTCTGGCAGAAACTGGGAGATGGGAGGTTCTGACTGTTCCCTTTGCACTGACCCTGGGGTGTCACTGCAGGGAGTGTTCATGGCCCCTTTAAGCACTCCTTCTCTGTTTGCTAAGATCCTGTGGGACCTGGGAAATGCTGAACTCCACTGACTCTCTCAGCTGGGTGATTTGGGCATTCCTATTCCTCAGGTGGTGGTTGCAAAAGTTGGGGCACTAGGTGTGTGATCCAAACCTTCACTCACAGGGAGAACTGAGAATTGGGTGGTGGGGGCGGGGGGGGGGTCCTCTCCTGATTGAAAGGCACTATGCTGGGGGTGGGCTTTGCAGTAAATGTGTTTCTCAGTCCTTCCTACCCATTTCGATGTGGGTATTTTCTCAGTGACCCAATGTGTAGGGGTCACTCCATTTTTTTCTAGATCTCTCTCAAGGGAAATGGACCCATGTGAAATTATTTATTCAGTGAATCTGTGGGAGGAAGGAGAGTCTGGAGCCCCCTATCTCGTCACCCTGGTTAGTCTAAAACACTGTCTTTCTAATAATGGGATTATTGCTTCTCTTTCATGATTCATGTCACTGTTCCACCAAAATTTCTCTTGCTTTCATTCTGTTAAGAGCAAAAGTGAAAGTATTAATTGCTCAGTCATGTCCAACTCTTTGTGACCCCAGGACCATAGCCCAGTAGACTCCTCTGTCCATTGGATTCTCCGGGCAAGAATACTGGAGTGGGTTGCCAGTTCCTCCTCCAGAGGATCTTCTCAACCCAGAGAGCTAACCTGGGTCTCTTGCATCGCAGGTGGTCTCTTTACTATCTGGGCCATTAGGGAAGCCCTAAGAGCCAAAGACTGTGTCAAAATGAGAAGGAAAAGTTCCTTTGGTCTCTTCAGGACCAGCCTCAGGCATGTAAAATGATCTATTCAGTTACAAAGAGTCTCCATGTCCGTAAGGGCCCTGAGTTTAGTTTAACGCTTTGTGGTCACCCTCTTAAAATTCTTAATACTTGTTTTTCTTAACAATTTTTTAACAAGGAGTCTCACAGTTTCATTTTGCAATGGGCCCCACAAATTATGTAGCTATTCCTAGGCCCCTCTAGGAATGGGCAGGATCTCTTCCAATCTACCAAAGTAGATTGGTACTCTTAGATTGCTCCTATTAGGAGCAAGAAAATAATAGAAGTGATAGAGGAAGAGATGAGAATAAAGCATGAGGCCAAGCTTCGTCATCCTATATATGAAAAAAATTAAGGCCACAAAGTTTTGACAACCTGTCTGATGCTATGCTTTGTTTATGTCAGAGCTAAAACCAGAAACCAGATGATCAGATATCCAACTTCTCTTTCAGTCTAGTTTCTCTTTCATAAAATGGAAATTATAATGTTTGATTCATCCCCCCAGACAGGTAGAAATGAATATTGATTAATAAGGACTATTAATTGATTTGAAATATACTCATTTGGGGATCAGTGAGATGTTTGGGTTATATCTGATGCTATGTAGAAATATTGAAACCCCTCTTATTTTGAAATAAAAAGCATGTCCATATTTTTATGTTTAAAGTTTGAAGTCATTGAGATAAAATCACAGACTTCTTCTGTTTTAAGTCATTGAGATAAAATCACAACCTTTGCTCTGTAGTACTTTTTTCACTGACATAACATAGTCTACTGCTTGTTTTATCATAACTGGTTGCTAATGAAAGGAGTTAAATGACTTGCAGTAGAATCATGACTCAGAAGAGGAAACTAACAGATAATATCCAAAACATGATGAATTGTTTTAATTGAGAATTAGAAAAGAGGGGCCATGAGTGTATCACAAATATGCAAGGACCAGGGGAAAATACAGAATTAATTCTCCAGGGTTTTTCAGATTCTTAAAAGAAATTACAAACTGCATGTCTCTTTTTAGAATAACTTTGAATAATCACCCTATTTTGAGTTCAGGACCATTTGGCAAATTCAGGGAAAAGGCATTCATCAAATAGTTTGGATCCTCCAAAGAGCCATGAATATTTCACCATGTATTTCTCTGGAGGGGTCAAAAAGGAGCAAATCATGGGGCAGTGGATTTTGGCTCTATAACTGACATATGCCCTAAGGCAACTGGCCTAACACACATTTTAGAAGCTCTGAGGGTTCCAAGCCACTGTTTTTATTGTGCAGGGTTTTTTGTTTTTGTTTTTCTAATAGAGAGCTATTTTATGGTAAATTTTGAATGCTTAATCCTCCCAAATTCTTATGGGCTTATGAACTAGAGGCAGTAAAAGCAGTAGGACACGGCAGATAAAATGACTGTCTGGTTCAACTATTCCTAGCCAGAGTTCTGAAGACATTCTCACAGAAAGAAAAGTGAAAGTGAAAGTGTGAGTTGCTCAGTTGTGTTCAACTCAGCGACCCCATGGACTGTAGTCTGCCCGGCTCCTCAGTCCGTGGGATTCTCCAGGTGAGAATACTGGAATGGGTTGCCATTCCCTTCTCCAGGTGTTCTCCCCAACCCAGAGATCAAACCTGGGTCTTCCACACTGCAAGCAGATTCTTTACCATCTGAGTCACCAGGCAAGCCCATTCACACAGAGGTCAAGCCTTAATTATCCAGGTTAAACAAAGAATTGAACAGCTTGAGTTGACTTTCA